ACCTGTCAGTCAATTTACAAATAATTTACTTGCGTATTGAGATAGAAGTACGTTGTAATATAATGGTGTACCTAATACGTGGCACGGTCTACACTCCGAAACCTTTATCATTCAATCGAAGCAAGAGCCGCTAATTATCCACCACCAGTTGGAACACCCTCTGTCGTTCGACTTGGAGCACTTGCGGGGTCCCGTCTTTCGTCACATCCAGTTTTCGTCGCTGAAAATTCCAATCAGGAAGTCATAATCAGTATTTTGGTAATAGAGGGCAGAAATTCTCTAATTCAAACTAATTCAATCTCTGAGCTTTGAGCGTTGCTTGTCGCACAAATGCTACGGTGGATTGACGTGTAATATTTGAAAAGGGGGGACTTGATGATATAAGTTTTTCTTTTCGTGTTGCCGTGAGGATCGAAACTGTTTTAAAGGTGGTGAGCTGCAGTGCTTATTCAAATCTCTTCATTCTTAGATTTCACCGCATGTAATCTTCGGGATGGTAGAGTTAGGATAAAAACATTTCTGACATAATTCTAAATTTTATTTCCCTCCCTCCATATTTTGATCATGGGGGGGGGGGGGGTGCGGACCTCCTTGAATACGCATACAATATATAATAGACTCCTGTGGAAGATGCAACACTTGTAAATTTATAAGAATTTCGTATCCATTATCAAATATCAATGCTATTCAGAAAGCTATAGGTCACAAGGATTCTAAAAATAGAGGGATTTTAACGGTGATTCAATCTCATAGTCTCTTTCTCAAGAAAGGTATCCTACGTTCTTCTATACGGACAAGAAAAGCATCTGGTTACTCTTACTCATCTACAGCTACCATGGCATCCCATGCATTATTGTCTGTTCACCATCCCATTACTCTTCTAATTGAAGATGGCACCCTGGCTAGAAGTGGCGGAAGTCTGGTGGAGGAAGTATGGTATTTACTAACAGGGACGAGAGGAAGACGGGCAAGGTGTCTTCAGAGGCAGCCATCTTGTCTGGGGGCGTCGCTTCATTTTCAAGATGAGGGGTCGGGGGGGGGGGGGGGGGACACATTGATCGAGAACAGATTTTCTGTATAGAAATACACCATGATCCCGTGCCCAAATTACGGAGGGAGGGGGGGGGGGGGTGGGGATTAGGAAGCATACACTGTCTAGGATACCCAGTTAATATTTTATTCAGAGCAGAGGGAGAGGGGGGACTAGTGCCCTTTGAACCCCCGGATCTGCGTCTACAGGCTTCTTAGACTATGGTGGGCGGTTTTGGTGTGGCTTTGTCAGACATATTCAAAATAGAAGAAGGGAACTAAGGTATAATGGAAAAGCGAAGGATATGGGTGACAGAAAAGAAAGATTAATCGCCATAACGAAAGGAATTAGTAAAATATGATTCGGCTTTGTGTAGGCCATGTGGAGTTTTCACAAGACAGTGTCATGGTAATCTATTCCATGGGCAAGGAAGAATAAAAACGGAACTGGCTTGAAATTATCAAAACCTTGTATTTTCATAGAAAACAGACTTGACTGAGGGGGTAAACTCGGTTCATGTTTGCCGAATTACGAACATTCGGGCCATTGAAGTGCCATTAAGGTAAGGAGAATCTGGAGACGAATGAGAAGGTATGACGGGGGATTGATATTAATCACAAATGCATTGTTGGCTGTTAAGGTTCTTGAAGCGCCTTAGCATAGAAAAATAAATGTAAAAAGGGAAATTGAAACAGGGGGATGAAGTTTTAGGCTACTGGAATTTAAATTTTTTCAATAAATTTGTTCAAAGAGAAGCTTGTTATTTATATGATAACGTACTTCAAAGATAGTCATTGATATGTCTTGCAGTCTTATTCATTGAGACGAAAATGTACTACATTCCTAAGCCCTGTCATCATAGGCAGTACACAGTAAACGGGTAAAACCATTATTAATATTTAATCCACCATCTTAGTAGTTTCGCGAAGTAGATCTAAACCGAAATACATGTAATAAACGGATTTCAATCCAAGGAAGTCGTTTCCTGATAAACCTGGTTGGAAGGTAAAACATTAGCGATCGATTAACAGCAAGCAGAGAAATATCATTTGCTTGTAGTATTGAAATCAAAACAAAAACGCATTAGTTCAAATTGATTAATTAAAAACAAAACTTAGCAGCGGGTTTTGAGCACGAGTTTTAGTTTCTGAATATGAAGCAAATTACAAGATATCCTTGTTGTTAATGAATCCTAGATTATAAAAGCCAAGACCAATTACAAGATGGTACCCGCTCCAGGCTCTAAATTCTTACCAGATTTGACAGAAATTTAGAGGGAAACTAATAATTTTGTCTTTTAATTTTTCCCGTACAGCAACAACCTGAAATTGCCTGAACGCGTGCCCTTTTTCCCGCTTTGTACTAATGATATTTAAAGCTAAATAATAACGTCTGCCCAAAGCAATCATTGGAAAACCTTTCGAGGCGCATTGACGTTTCCTCTTGGGCCAGCTCGGGGTGCGAACAGCTGGGCCGACGGGCATAGCAAGAAACGGAATCAGAGTAATATTTACAGATGTAAAGATAGATATGTTTCCTTGAACCAGCCTCACGAGATATTAATTTTTCTTTTCTTCGTTGGCGAGCTGAAATGAGATTTCACGCTCTTTTGACGCGCAGGTGCCAGTGCTGATGGTGAGGGAGGGTGATTATTTTTGTCCTGTTTTTAGGCGGGAAGTAAAGTGGGGTCAACAGTCGCTGTTAAACCTGGTGTTACACCTGGTGAATTATCAGCCACTCAAACTGTTTTCATTATTGATTTAAGTATATTTCGTACTGTTATCATAGTTTTCAATATATAGCGGATACAGATTTCATTCTTAATCCGGACATCAGATGACAAATGTTCTCAACACTGAATCCTAAAATTGAACAGTTTCTCTAATCTCAATTAAGATCCAATCAAGTCCAGTGTGATACTTCAAAAGTTGAAATTTTGAATGATCTCGGCTTAATCTTCGAGATGAATACAGAATACCCAAAAAGATGAGTATTGAATTTAACCCGAATAGTATTTCTCATCCACCCATTCAAAAGATGTATTTAATTAACGCGGTATGTCGGGTCATCGATCATACACTGATGCTGACACGTAGGCTTTAGGGTGGGACAGACACGCCCCATTTCAGTAACCCCGGTGGCAGTCACGCCCTGGTGACAGCGGTGGCTCATCCTTAGTGGAAAAATCATTATTCACTCCTCACAATTAACCAACCCAGATCTACAATTTGTTTAAAGTAAAGGCAGTCAACAAAAAACTTTAAAGAGCATTATTGGTACTTATAACATAGCAGAATATTGATCATGTTGATCAGGGCCGCGTCTTATAAAGAGTTGATATTAATCGCAACTTATTTGCGATTGATATCAGTCGCAACTATGTGCATGAGAGATAGGAGACTGCAAATTTGCGATTGATTAGAGGACTTGCGATTGATTCGGATCAGTCGCAACTCTTTGTAAGACGGGGTCCTGGTCAAACTCAGAGCGACAAGTTTAGTCCGCAGGTTGAATCTTGGAGTAAAGTGGTGTATAGGAAATTTACATTGCAAACCCCAAACGCTGTGAAAATGGTATTGTATTTTTCATATAAATGAACTTGCACTAATTAACTTGAAAAATATGATAAAGGTCAATACATAAACTTTGTTGATAACTCAATTATAATCAATAATTGATATCTATCTCGTCGATTGGTACAATGATAAACTTAAAGAATAGCACTCGAGCAAAACGGTGAGTGCGAGACGCGGAAAGCTACACAAGTGCAGGTGTGGTTTCGATACAATATTCCACCGTGTAGAAATAAACAGGTAAAAGCAAAACTTCTAATTTTTCAGATGAATAACGACTGTAAACCTATGAATCCCTAAACTTTGGTTCATCATTAATATTGGGTGTGAGAGTTTGGTCCAATACTCGACCATGTAGAACCAAGCAACAAGGCGGGTCCGTCCGTTCGTCCCGGTCGGGTCGGGTCATGGCTGGCCGTCACAGCTGATGTGATAACTCGACATTAATTAAAACACGAGTGTGAACAGTCCATCGTCCATGTCGTTCTCTAATGAATAAGTTCCCTCGTTTTAATGGATTAACTCGAAGTGTTGCGATGAAAGATGGTTCGGAACAGTTAGGGTCAATAATCGGATTTTCAGGTATAACACAAGATCTAACTATAGTCATACAAAAATACCTTGAACAGCTGCGATGGTTAACGGCTTAAACAAGTCTTTGGAAAGTCCGAATTTTTATGGATCTTCAAAAGTAGATAATTCACAATTGTTTTCTATTATTCATAATATCATTGGATAATAACAGAAGATTTATCATAGTTTTCACAAGCATGCACAATAAATTATCAAACAATATTTGTTTATTTTTTAAAATTTATTAACAATATTGTTCTTAATTTTTTTAATTTTTATTTGTGTTATTCTTAAAATAATTATCATTATCACTATTATAATGATAATGATTTTTTTTTTTTTTTGGGGGGGGGGGAGGGGGGCGATACTCATTTTGTACACTTCAATTATGAAACATATAGGGTTTGGGTTATAAATATTCATTAGAAGAAATCAGCATACTCACTTGACACAAATAAGGGAGAAAATTACCTAAACATAAAAGTGCTGAGAGAGAGAGAGAGAGAGAGAGAGAGAGAGAGAGAGAGAGAGAGAGAGAGAGAGAGAGAGAGAGAGAGAGAGAGAGCATCGCATACCGTCCCCCAAAGTTGAAGTTTGCCTAGCAACATTCTGCAAACAAGTTCGATTTTTTCCCTCTATCGCGAACTTACACAAACACTAGCCAAAAAGCAAACTCGTTGTACCCCTTTCAGTATAAACGTTTACAAACCGGTAATTCAATTAAAATACTGCAATATATTGCCTGCACTCAAAGTATGAAATGGCAAGACATGGAATCAATATTGCATTCATGTGGTGTTTTCTGTTGCAAATTTCAAGTAAAAGGGTGGAGGCATGTCTGGCGAGGCAGACAACACCAGACACTGCAAATCAGCCCAACATATCAACAGGTTAGTGCATTAGTGTTTTAGTTTAACATTGTCTACATAATTGTTCATAATGGCACATGAGTTCACAACAGGGACGTCCCCCCCCCCCCCCATCTGGGCCGGGGTGGGGGAGGGAGTGTGCCGGTCCTACTTTGCCGACAATTTATCGTTCCTAAAATTTATTGACAAACAAAAACGACCGGTTCAAGTAATGGTTACCTTATATTAGCAATAGAGTAGGTACATCTTGCTTATGATATGGGCCTGCATGTTAAGCTCTCAAACTGTTAATTTCCCAATCTCCTGTTTATCAAGTTCTGCAAATATTCAGGCCTGCTCTCCGACCCGAAATATACTTGGAATATGAGGTATTTCATTACTACCCCCATCCCCTTACATGCCCGATGTCAGAATTCACTTTTTGATTTTGAAACCCGTTGGAAATATGGAGGGTGATGATGACAGAACATACAGGTTTGAACATCGCGATAAAACATTCCTTAGAATAAAAACTCCATCAAAATAAGTCATTTTATCACTGAATCAAATAAGACTGTTTTCACCGAAACAGATACTCTAATTTCCGATGACGGCAGTTGCCTAGCAACAACGGCAGGCACGGAATCGTTCAGCAAGGAGTTGAAATCTCATTCAAACCAGTTAACCTTTGACCTGTATAACGTCACCATCGATTGCTCCTATCTGATCCAGGCAAATGAACCTTATACCAGGGTCATGGTCGACTTCAGATGGTTTGATGTCAGTAGAAGGTAAGTAAGACTAGGGTCGCTAATCTATTTTGAAAATGGGGGGGGGGGGCATGTTGAAAAAAATGGATGGAAAATTATATTGCATTTATATCCCTCAAAAATGACCCGTATTCCAACCCCCCGATATGATAGGCATGTCAAACGAAATGTTATCGCATCAAATTGACAAATTGAACCGAAACTGGAAAGTATAGTCCAAGATATGTGTAAACAATTTTATTTTGTGTAATGGATATTTTCAGAACACCGAAAAATATGGCTTACATAGAAAACTTTCATGACTACCAAGTCAATAATATTTAAACTAATGGCCTTCATGGAGTTTAGGGAATGCCAATAAGTATGAAAGAAGGCTGCATAACATTCAGTATTGCATTTTAATTTATGCCACATTTATAGCTGAAGTTAGCGTCTTCGTAAAATATTTATAAACGGACAGACATCACAAAGGCGAGGACCACTGGTGGCACAAATTCTGAGGAGTGTCAGAGATGTTGAAGGGTTTTCGATTCACTTCTCTTTTCTGTTCTTTTCTTTTCTTCTTTACTCTTCTTTTCTCTTCTCTTTTCTACTCTTCTTCTCTTCTCTTCTCTTCTCGTCTCTTCTCGTCTCTTCTCTTCTCTTCTCTTCTCTTCTCTTCTCTTCTCTTCTCTTCTCTTCTCTTCTCTTCTCTTCTCTTCTCTTTTCTCTTCTCTTCTCTTTTCTTCTCTTTTCTTCTCTTTTCTTTTCTCTTCTCTTTTCTTCACCACACGTAATAAAGATATTTTGGAGTACTTGATAAAACACGTGTAATATTTTACGTACAAACATGACAATTTCAAATTCTATTCCGGATGACGACGATGACAACGATGACGAAGATTATAATTTTGACGAAGACAATGGCGTCATAACCAAGCTGGAATGACGATAATGAATTTGACAATTGTCAGTATTAGCTGAGGCTTTGATAGCAGAGGCTAATATTTTGTCTTTTTTGTCCAGGTATGACTCTCCAAATGACGACTGCGACCATGCCAGTGTGGAGTTTTTCGATGGCCACAGCACATCTTCCAGCCAGCTAGGTAACACACTCTGTGGTACAGACAGACCTAGCTTGATCCTTTCATCGGGGAGCAGCCTAACGATGAGGCTCCAAGCATCGGGAGACTTCAGCGTCATGGACTTCAGGGCCATCTACACTGTCTTTTCAGACGGTAAAAAATATAATAATATTGAAACATGACAATTTAACGCATTTTTAAGAATAAACTGTGATACGTGAGTAAGATATTATCATGGTACACTACCTACAGCATTCTTTCTATTTTGAATAATTGCTTTTCATTACACCATTGATGGTAACTTTGTCAATAATGAGAAATTCCACTGAAACCTTGATTTGATTTGCCGTTGAGTGATCTTGCCTTGGCAGTTAATATTGATGGCAAATTCAACATCAATGGTAACATGTTAATGCAACGGGACCAAGGAGCCTCTTAAATAGTATTGTGATCAAACACAACTAAACTTTAAACCAATCAGAACCACGCATTCAGTACATGCTCGAGGAGGCCCGATATGGTTTTTTGTCTTTTCTCTTTTTTTTGGGTCTCATCCGCTCTCTTCCTCGATACCGTTGTTTTTCTGTCTCTGCCTTTGTCCACGCCGAACATCCCTTCTCCATATACACTCTCCATCTTTGCCCCTTTGTCTCCACCCTCCCCTTCTCTCTCTTATCCTTCTGTCTTCACATTCCCTCCATCACTCGCTCCATCCTTTACCTCCTCCCTCTCCTTTCATCACCCTTCTCCTTCAACATAATCTATCCCATTTTCGGAGACACATTGTGTTCATTGTTCACGTGTACGACGTCGAGTCGGTGTACCGACTCGACGGTGACGTACGTGTGACAACCAATGCTACGGCTACCGTGGTGAAGAGGACTTCAGTGACCAGCGGGATACTGACTGCCCTATAAGCCTTGTTGGCCCGTTACGCCGTATACCACGTTCTACTCTATGGCCTTAATGTTGCATGATGGCGTAGCACTTTAACTTGGTATTGAACGAAGGACCTCTCGGTTTCAACAGCACTACTCCAACCCCTGAGGCACTGGACCCTTGTCTCTTTACGTCGTCTCTCTCTGTCACTTTCATTCTATCTCTGTCTCTTTCCACCTACCCCTCTATCTTTCATCTGTCTGTCCTCTCTAACGGACCTTCATTATAGATCTATCATTTTCTAATATTATCATCGTTTTTTGTTTTAGACACTTCGTGTTCATCATTCACGTGTACGACGACGAGTCGGTGTATCGACTCGACGGTGACTTGTGATAACCAGGGTTATGGTAATTGTGGTGAGGAGGACTTCAGCGACCAGGAGGATGCCGACTGCCCGGGTAAGCATCGTATAAACCAGTTCATTCCTCGATGTCATACCTTAACGGTTTCTTTCTTTTGGTTTTCAAGGAGTTACCAGATCTGCGTGACACCTTGGTGTGGTTTCTTCTTTTTATTCGTTTTCTTACTGTATGATTTCTTGCGGATTGTTATATTCCTATATTTAATATTCTGGTCGATCAGAAGCCGCACTTAATTGTCGACGAAAATATTTTCTTTGAGAATGTAAAGTGATCGGTCTAAACAGATTAAGCTCATGAAAATAATATTAACCAGGGGCCGCAGTCACTCATCCCTTGGGCTGAGTTCTTCCCCTCCACAGCCCTTTATGATGTTAGCATGCATGGGTGGCATCCACTTATAGGGAACCGGGAGTTTAGCCTCCCCAAAGATATCAATATAATTATTTACAATTAATTATATAGGGGCCTACTTGTTACAGGCCAGATTGAATAATAATTTACAATCAATCAACATCTATTTCTGCTTAATCCTTTTTCCGACAGTGGTCTACACTACCCCCGACCTTCGCCCTCTTCTCTACGCGGCGCTCGTCCTGCTTCTCCCCTTCCTCTTCCTTCTCTACTTCTGTTGTTGGAGACCCGGATACATGGTGTGGGCTTGCGGTTGCTGGCGACGCCAAAGCTGCCGCGACTGTGGGTGTTGCTGTCCCGTTCAAAGTCGAGGGCTATGCCGTCGAATCTGTACCTGTGATCGTCGAGCGACGAAGTCGAACTCGGTCGGGAATCTCAGAGAAGATGGAAGAATGCGCAGAGAGAAAGCGCTGTAGTTATGCTATTGTGTTGGAGAACAGACTGAGGGACACTGTTAGTACATAACCAAGTGGTGTGTCTTAATGTGTCTTTATGTGTCTTAAGAGGCATACACCTCTTAAGTTGAGAGAGAGAGAGAGAGAGAGAGAGGGAGGGAGGGAGAGAGAAAGAGAGAGAGAGAGAGAGATCATTTTAGAGGAAATTCATGTTACCTGAGCTAGTGTGTATATACGTTATCTTACTTTTAGATATTTTCTCAAATTGCCCCTCCTGATGGAGAAAGATTGATATCACTCAATGATCATGTCACAATTATCAAGTGTTCTTGCCCTATTAAACGTTGTGTAATAATTGGATACGGTATAGAACATTAATGAGATAAAAATCGATCCAGAGTAACGCTGAAGCCCTTGAAAATAATAATAACTAGTTAGGGGCCGTAGCCACTTACTCCTGGAGCTGAAAAGGGTTTACCCTTCACAGCCCTGTAGGATGTAAGCCCTGGGGGGTGTTTCACAAAGATCCTAAGTAGAACTTAATACTAAATTGGACCTACCAATTATGGACAGCCGTTAGCATCCTTGAAAATATTTAATAAAAGTTATTTTAAAAGGCATAAAATGTTGATTCAAATCATTCATATTTTCTATTATCATAGGAGATTTCATGTTCTTGATGTGGATTTATGAAAAGTCTAAAATACTTGAATTTTTGCTTTTGAACATATTTCATTATAAGACTACAAATGGTCTCCATAATATTTAAGTCCAACTTAGAGATAAGTTCAACTTAGTATCTTTGTGAAACGCCCCCCAGGTGCAAGAATTTGAGCCTCCTCAAAGTTGAACATTAGACCAAACGAGCAAATAAACCAAAATAGATTAGACCAAATGGCTGTTAGCCGAAATGGTCATTAGACCAATTGATAAATATACAAAATGATAATTATTAGACCATGTGGACAGTGGACGGACTAGGAATAGACTAATTGGGTAGTAGATGAACTGGTTGACGAGGAAACAGCAATTCACATTGGAATTTACGACCCGTAGCAATATTGCAATGATGCTAATTTATGCAAAATAATACGATCGTGATGTCTACTTGAGCACATAATTATGTTCCTTCTTCAAACCAATCGATTTTTGTCACAACCATCATTGTATTTTTCATGCCTGAATATGATCTTAAATCATTGATTCGTTATAGACCTTATATTGGACAATAATAAATCATTGAATTTTGTCCATGATCGGACTACTTCCTCATTTTGATAATACAGGCTATGTTGTGTAATAGTTTTAAGATAATATGTGACATTTATACTTGTGTTTTCAATTGTATTATGTTTTGCAATTATTGTGTTAAAATTGTTTGTGATGTGTGGAAATAAATAAATAAACTTGAAACTAAACTGTGAGTTTTATCATGATAAAATTTGAAATATTTATACAAAAGTTAATGTAACAAGCTGTCTGTAGATTTGTCTTCAGATTTATGGTAACTTTTAATCAAAGCAAATCTAATAACTAAACAAAAATTATTTACCTTTTAATCCCTATAAAGTATATCCTCAGTATGAACCGGCCTTTGACCATGGTCATTTGCTAGGACCAGCAGAACATCATCGGACAATTTTACTTTTATCAAAACAATAGTCAGGGGAATATATAAATTAACTAATGAATATGTTGGTGTCAGCCTTTTCTTTGCGCATAGTTACCATGCATGCAAACGACTCTGACACAACCATCGACACTATATGATCAACGTATTACAACAAAAAATGGAGTAATATTTAAGCAATACCTAATCTAAACATTGCATTAACAATGCTGTGCAAATAACCTGAGTGCCCTGATCAAACATTCGCCATATTGAAGACGACATTTCCAGACATAACGAAGAAGCACAATGCGCAATGGTGTATGGCGGACGTACAGCGTCTTTCGTTGCCTAGGCAACAGCAAAGGTATTAAACCGGAATGTCCCTATGCCGTTTTTCTGTACAGAATTTTAATCAATAACAAATTGTGACGTGACCAAATTCGAAAGCCATAATCAGCATTTTGATTGCAATGCTTATTAATACGATGCGTGCCGTCGCTCAGCAAATTATTATAAGGTGGGACTATACAAGCTGTCGAGTGATGTGTATTTTCGGAGAGATGTGTTTATTCTGATGTGGGAGAGTAACTCCGCCATTTTGAAACCTGACGTCTGACATGGATCAAGACACAAAGTTAATATGCTCTTACAGGAAAACATGGGAGAACTCATTGAAGCGGTTGAACTGATATTCAACTGAAGATTTTGCTGTTTGAACAAAAGACGGGATTGATGTACATGTGATTATTTAACAACGAAATGAAAATGCATCCAATACGATTGAATAGAAACATTTAATTTTGTATCGCTAAAATGTGACGCCATTATAATTGGTAATTTGTACATCAGCAACACAGGAGTGGATTCGGGTAAAAGATGGTTGTAATTGTGAAGATTGTATTATGATTGGTGATTCTTCGACCATTATCTCATTTCAAGGACCATACTTTCAGCTATGTTGACATCAAAGCAGTTGTTTGTATTATGTTTGGTGAATGTTTTCTTCGTTACGGTCAGAGGAAGCACAAATACAGGTAAATAAATGTACATGTTTGTCAATACCCTAAATATACACTTAAATATACTAAATCATACATGTAACTTTGAATTTTGCATGTGCTTCTCTGTGTACTTCAATATCATTTGCAATTTATTGCAAACCCGACCAAAGAATATACGTTATTTTTTATTTAGCACAAAACAAAATGTGTACCGGTATGAGTATTTGTGTCTGCATGTGACTGTGTCTGTGAATTAATGTTAGAAATACAAAAGGTTGTCTTTAAGTTAATTTTTTAGAAAGCTAAAGATTTGTATACACCACAGTGTGTAACGAGGAAAGATCCTAACAATTTTAAATGCGACAAGAATGAAACACACCGTATAGGGGTTATCCTAGACAAGGGGGTTGTGATGCCCCAGTGTACGTGTACGTGTATAGGGGTCGCCCCCCATGTCTCCCGTATTTTGTGACTTGTTAAATCAAGCAATATAAATATATTGTCTTATTCTCAAACTTAAATGCAGTCTGTAAACTTATTTTATTCATCAGTATTTCGTTACTTGTATAATTCATTTGATCTATCATATATTATAATACTATACGGTTTATATATGTCATTTAAATTTGAGGATATTTGAGTGGGAAAAAAATTAAAATCAAATCAAAATCAAAACATCTCAGAAAGGTATAAAGTTGTGATTAGATCATGGCGTATCTAGCATAATTATGGTCAATCCGCTAGGCACCCCCTCGTTTGAAGGCCTAGAAGAAGAAGGAAAAAAACCCGGCTTCGAATGGGTCTAAACCAAGTGTATGTATCCCGATCAAAGGGAGGCTTCCACCACTTGTTTGGAAATTTCGGGATACACAGCCACTAACTCACTCCTGCAGTAAATGCTATATTCTCCACGAGCCATCATTTTTACAGACGCTCACTCACAATGCACTAACTTTTGCATCTTACCGGGTACCCATTTAAAACCTGAGTGGAGAGTGGCAAATATGGATTTACGACTTGCCAAAGGGCGTTAGTGTCGGGCTGGGATTTGAACCCCGTACCTTGTGATCTACAGTCCGGCGACTTATCCACTAGACCACAACACCTCTATTTCTATGTCTCTGTTCATGCCCTTTCCATACCCAGTCGTTTTGACGAGCGTGTGCGATGCGAGCCTCCAGAAGGAAGATGCCAGCTTCCTCGTGACATCGGCAACCTATGAGAACATCACTGGTCCTGAGGACTGCACCGTGGTCATCCAGGCTCTCAAGTCCAATCAGATGCTAGCCGTCGTCTTCGTTTCTCCGTTCCTACTCGAAGGTAAGGGCACATTCACCAACGTTTATCACCAAATATGCACTGCCATTTTGAAGAAGAAAAAAAAAAATCCTATTTCATCAATATTCACGATAATATTGAGTGTCACAATACGAAGCTCATGCCCCCTCCCTTATAGAATAGCGACGAGAGAGAGAGATAGAGAGAGAGAGAGAGAGAGAGAGAGAGAGGTGAGAAATAGAGAGAGAGAGAGAGAGAGAGAGAGAGAGAAAGGGTGGGAAGAGAAGATTATACGATCCAATCCCAGCACGTGCTCTACAATCGGTAGCCTTGTTCCTTCACATTTCATCCACCTAGTAAAGACCGGTTCCCCCTCCCCTTTTTTACCATGTGTCCCCTTTAACATGTGAAATTTCGAGCCCCCATTTCTTCACTGCTAATTAACACCTGAACAAATCGAAACGATAAAAACAACAAAACCAATTACAAATCATTGAATAGGTTATGATTAATATAAATTACTAACAGTCACGGATGTATGATAGCTCAAAGCAGGGGAAAAAACGTAATGAGCCAGAACCACAAAATTAACGATATCCAAAACAATGAATGAATAATACCATTTTCCTCAAGCCATGCCTAATTACAAACATTGTTTTCTTTAGGTTTGCGTGCATGTCAAAATAAATTATCCAAACGATTAAAATAACAAATTATGTCCTCCATGAAATTTAAACTCGCCTAACGGGGTTATATTTAAGTGGTCTTCCTGACCGAACTTTTTTAATAACTTCGAAAAATTTCCCGTTGGATTATGTTGTCCATCAATTCATGAAATGTTCCGATATCAGATTGCCTACAAGCATCGTCGGGTCAGCATAATATTTCATTTTCATGTCAAGGAATAGACATAAGTAGTTACATTAAAGCGAAACAAAATGCCAGTCAACCAGGGGGCATTTCTTCATGTTCATAAAATAAATTTTGCAGAAAGTCCATTAAAAGCAACCCCCAAACCAACGAAAAATTCTAACACCAAAATTCTGATGGGTTGAAAGTCAAGTTGCATTAAATCAAATCCTTTTTAATGTAAGAGATCTGGTTCTCGTACCTAGAAGAAATTGAACTATATAACAAACAAATTGTTATTACATCTGAATGCTAGGACTATGCATTTCCCATCCCATCTCAACAAGCAGGGGGTAAGTTAAAGATTTTGTAAAGAGGGAGACACAATTCCGGAAAATAAATGAAGAAGGGCATTTTTACGTGGTGTGTACTTGTTGTGTGCCTTTAAGTTTAAAGGGAGGTTGTGGTCCTATTGCGCCCCCCCCCCTTATCCGCCACTGTCATAGGCCTGTCCTCATCAGCTCGAGATTGCCAAATAGCCCGATATTTCTGATTTGGGAAATAATCTCGCGTCCTCATCAGCTCGAGACTTGACCTCGAAACTTGAAACTCGAAACAAGCTCGAGATATTTTTCTCAGCGTTTGCGCATAGTGTGAGTCTTCGGGATGCTGAAGACGCACCGGACAAATAGCGAGATATTTTTAAAACTATCCCAAGATATCTTGGGATGATTATCTGGACCAAATATCCCGCTAATTGCAACTTCGGGCTGATGAAGACGCAAATTAACTGGATAATTAGTGATCGAGATAGTTTAAATAGCAGGATATTTAGCAATCTCGAGCTGATGAGGACAGGCCTGAATGAGCTTAGACAACGAATACAACTGTTCTTGATCATTGATTTGCTTATCAAACAGACGATGAGAATAACCCACTCCTACCCGACGGACAGGGATGCAGACGTTCTTCTCTCATGATATGGGACGGAGACGACTATGAGACGGACGATCTGATTGGTCGATACTGCGGCACCGAGACACCAGCAAGCTTCGAGTCTACCGGTCAGTTCTTGACGATTTGGCTCTCGCTCAACGAATCAGCGGCGGCCAATATCTCAGTACTCTACACTTCATTTGATAATGGTACGAAATAAAAGTCATTTGTATTGTATAAACTTAATAGCATTCTATTTCTTTTCTTTTTTTATCTGAATGTTTCAATATTGTTTGTAAACACATAATGAAATATTACGATTTCGTTGAAGCAGAAGGTCCCGAACTTCTAACCCAAATAAACAACACGTAACTATGCAGTCATTGAGCTCAAAATAAAACAAAAACAAAAACAAAATAACAACAACAAAAGGGCTTCCGATATAATTTGCAAAATGTATAAATGCCATAAAACCATTCGTAGCTCTCACGGTTAACGTTAATCTCAACAAGAATAATCACCAAACACTGTCAGGAGATTTCCTAAATATTAGGTTCACATAAATTTATACTACCCCATCCCCTTTAATTGTATAGTACAATTTGACGGTCATGTCAAAAATTTATTCAATAGATAGATGTTTCTAAGTTTGGTCGAAATGATATACTACCTGCTCCGTTTTTAGAAAATAAGATAATGCGCCGGAACTTCCTCCTATCATATCGATGAAAATTGGTTTAATCTACCTGACAAAATGAGTCTATAGGCATTGTCAATTTGATCTTCCTTGCGTGCAAAGTTTGATTTACATGATTTTCAAATTCCTCTTTTCCTCTCATACTCTTTAAATTCACTTTCAGTAGAAGTCATACATCAGATGGGGGGGGGGGGGGGGGGGGGGGGTCGTGAGTGGAGAGCAGAGAAGAGACATACGAAGAGGCAAAAGAGCCATGTACAACTTGAAAAAGAAGAATATGAATACTGAAAGACATAATGTACCTATACTCATATAGGTCTATCTCTCTGTAAAATAAAAATGGACTATTTCATTTCATAGTTTTTCATGACAGGCAAGCGTAGTCTCCTCATGTTGTCCCCCTTAAAACAAATCTTTACCAACATTCATTTTTCCCCCACCCATATCCATGTTACAATAAAAATACATCGTGAGCTTTATTCATATTATATTCTTATTCTTACATGAATCTTCTTGAAATTGCTTTCGATGATGAGAAGTGCATCTACCGCTCCAAATAATAACCTGACATACAATGTTTTTTGTATTCTTTATAGGGGTATGTGATGACGATGTCACGGAGCTGAGATGTAATAACGGAAGATGTGTCCCGCGCTCAGTTAGTTGTGATTTGGCCAACAACTGTGGCGACAATTCAGACCAGTTAATCAGCGCTCCAGCATACTGCTCTGGTAAGAATCATATCAATGTATAAAATGTTTTAAAGCCAGACTTCACTACTCGTAGCTACTTGCGCCCTCTATATAGCCAACAATATCCAAGCGGTACCCGTTGATCCCCCCCCCTCCCATGGTCCCCTTTCTTGTTAATTGAGAGCTGATTTGATGAGATAACCACCTGCCAGTGACCACGCTGGGAGCTCTAATTCCTCCTGGCCAAACTAGTGCAGATAGGCTTTAATCATAGCTTGTTATTATACCCAGCCCATCTTCAACGGAAATGATTACCTTAAGTCGTACTATAGTAACAATTATTTCCAAAACCATCAAGGTATGTTGTTAGAAGATGGGATTATAATGTAACAATGAGATGGACCTTAAAAAGTAATTCTTGAATTTTACGCCTCTGATTATTATGTCATCTGAAAATAACAGGATCACAAAGACTTTCGGAAAATTAATCTAAGGCAATTTTAGTAGTCTACTGCATCACCTATTGCGAACATAAAAAAGTCTCATCATAATATCTGAAAGAAATTCTTCGTTAAAACTGCCCTCAGATGACCCTCAGGTATAGTTTTGAAAGTCTTTGCGTTCGTGTTAATTATACCTTTATTCTAATAAAGGCATTTCCACCATTATCCATTCCTTCTCTCCCACATTCAATCTAAATCGTCGTCTCTTAAACCTTTCGAATATATATACTGAATTCTCTCATTCCCATAGATATAATACAGGAGCCACCCGGTTCCTGTTGGCAATGTTTTCGTTGTGCCTTCGTTTGTGACTCTCATTCTTTCTCTCCTTAGTGACCGATGAGTCAACGCTTGCCGAGTCTTACCCGTGGCTCTGGATTCTGCTCGGCATCCTCGGGGTTCTCTTGTTGGCGTACATCCTCTATTGGTTGCTATGGCGACCGGGCTACATCATCTGGAGACTGGGATGCTGTAGGAACCTCTGGTATGGATGCTGCAGGGGTGTCAATGCAAAGTGCTGCGGCCAGTCACGCAAATACAACAAAGGTTCGCGGAGTGGTACGCATGGTAGCAGTCAGGATGGTGTGGACTATTACGATACCGATGATGATGACGACGGTGAATCAACTGGATGCTTATGCTGTCGATGCTGTCGAAGTTGCTCGTCAAACGATAAGCAACGTCGGAGATCAAAGAGGCATCCAAATCAAGGATCCGACTCCAGTATGACCCAGCTCCATCGACCTGGACTTTACAAGGAGGGGGTAATGTTCCCCCCTGGTGCGGGACAAAGACCAAGGCTCCATCGAGAGGGGGTAATATTGCCGCCTGATGCGGGAGACAGACCGAAACTCCACCGAGAGGGCCTGATATTACCACCTGATGCCATCCGACCGTCGTTATACAAGGAGGACCTGATTATTCCCCAGTATGGTCCACGACCACAACTCTACAAGGAGGGTGTCATACTTCCTCCACCAGAGGAACAAGGGAGGGTACAACCGATGGCCTTTGGTATCTACCATGAGGACACCATTGTACCCCCTCCATCAACTCTCGTTACCCCCTCTCTTGTAATGATTGAAGACTGCCAAAAAGACTGGGACGGAAGGCACGCTCGAGAGGCTCGATGAGACAAATGAAATTCTTTTCTATTATTAGGAGATTCCTTCAGAAACGCGCGGCAATTTCATAGACTTTAGAATATCTGTATAGTTGCATGTAATATAGGCCTATTAATTTCGTTATTTTTTAGCCTCGTGCAAAATACAAGTACTTTATATTTTTCATACATGTATTTTGCTTTAATAAGATTGGTCTTTAAAATATGGCGCCAATGTCTGACGTAAAATTTGTTACATTAAATGTGTGATGAAAAGCAAGCATAAATTAGAAGAAAAGAACGGTTGGATACAGAGTAAATGGTAAATATTAATATCATTCAACAATTGTTATTTTAACGCGTTACAAAGGGAATAGATAGGATCTAACATATGAAAGAATGACCTGGATAAAGATAATCATTTGAAAAGGAGTAATTTCAATAAAAGAAATGAATTATATATGTAGTATCATCCAGGTAAGTGCAGACGATGTAATAAACTATTTGGAATAAAAAGTTACTTAATCTTTGAGATTTGAGGTATGTGTGTGTTTATCACTCAAGAGAAGAAGTACCATATATCAATCTTATTCTAAACTAACCCTGAAGACTGCTGAATAACAGAGACAAAAAGGGAGAGAGAGAGTGGAGAGAGAGAGAGAGGAAGAGAAAAAGAAAGAAAGAGAGAGGAAGAGAAAGAAAGGGGGAGAGAGAGAGAGAGAGGGAAAGAGACAGAGAGAGAAAGAGGAGGTGGAGAGAGAGAGAGAGAGAGAGAGAGAGAGAGAGAGAAAGAGGAGGGCGGAGAGAGAGAGAGAAAGAAGAGGGGGAGTGAAGTATACGATTGATGGAGGAAGGGCTCTGTCTCTCTTTCTCTCTCTCACACACACGCTCTCTCAATAGAAATAGATGGTGGAGGAAGGAAGAAGAGGGATGGAAAGAGGGACGAAAGTTGTGATAGTTATTAAGTATACCAGTAAAAATTAAAAATAAAGACTCATATATTAAGTGTTGAGTGGACTTAGTAAAAAGAACTTTAATACCACAAAATACATCTATTTTTACAAGCAGAAAGACAAGATTGAAAAAGCTTAGTGATTATAAAAATACACATCATAACAAATTACTTTTCTTCATTGATCGGCTGTTTTTCTCTCCATTTATTTTATTTTATATCTCTCTCCCTCTCGCTTTCTCTCTCTCATTCCAATATCAAGGTTTGAGTTGATAGGTCATAATATAAATTTTAATCTTTTTGCGAAACCTTCAAGTCAACATATATGTTAGTGAGTGATGATAGACAAGAATCCTTGATCAAAATTAATTCAAAATATTCCTAAATAGTGGTTCACACTACAACTGCTAGTGTAAGTAGATAAAGCTCTGCTATTTTACAAAGAATCTCACTTCACAAAATACCAATGGTAGTCTAAACAACTCCATTCATTTCCAATGGATATACAAACAATATACAAATAGAAAAATATATTATATACATGAAACTAATGAAAATATGTAACTAAATTATATAACTCATTTTCGTTTTGATTGCTTGATCTTGTGATTATATACACAGATAGACTACCGGTAATGTAATTTTAATATCAAAACATTTCATAGGAATATACATGAATTAACCAAGCTTACTCTTTTTAATCTTCGACAATACTATACAGTAATTTATAAAATAACAATTAATTGATAGTACACTGTGCCTTCAAATTCCAACAGAAAATACAATCATTGTGGTATAATAATAAATTTAGTTTATCTCTAACAAGTGTGGACGGAATACAATAATAAATACAAATTTGAAAGAAAGCACAAACAGTACTGAAAAATGTATATTTACAATTATTTCTAAAAATATATGAAAGACTGTAGTAATTGATCGAGAATTATCTCCCAACAAGTGGCCAAAAGCAAAGAAAACGTCCATGAATTTGTCTTTGCTGATGATTGATGAGACACCATACTGCCCTCGTAGGGTCATTTACTTGCCTTACCTGATGGTCTCTTGCATTGAGAGTTGCATTTGTGTGCAAGATAGAACATTAAAGCCTGTCTGCACTAGTTTGGCCTGGAGGGATTAGAACTCCCTGCATGGTCTCTGACAGGTGGTTATGTCATCAAATCAGCTCTCACTTAACATAAGAAAAAGAGGATCTTGGGGGACCAATGGTCACCAATTAGGCATTGTTTGTTATATAGAGGGCGCAAGTAGCTACAATGTATAAAAAGTGCAGTGGGGCTTACATGAAAACTGATTTCAATCAATCAGGATCGCATAGAACTTGTGTTTAATTCTGTGAGTTAGGTAAATTTGCAACTTTCTATGCCCAGATTTATTTGTCCTGCCTGCCTGCCCCTCTCACTTACCCTAGAAGTCTTTAATTCTTTGAGTTAGGTAAATTCGCAACTTTTTATGCCTTTTATTTGCCCTGCCTGCCTGCCCTCTTACCTGCCCCAGATGTCTTTAATTCTTTGAGTTAGGCAAATTTGCAACTTTCTATGCCATTTACTTGTCTGCCCCCTCACTTGCCCAAGATGTCTTTAATTCTTTGAGTTAGGTAAATTTGCAACTTTCTATACCAGTTTATTTGCCCTGCCTGCCCCCTCACTTGCCCCAGATGTCTTTAATTCTTTGAGTTAGGCAAATTCGCAACTTTTTATACCAGTTTATTTGCCCTGCCTGCCCCCTCACTTGCCCCAGATGTCTTTAATTCTTTGAGTTAGGTAAATTCGCAACTTTCTATACCCGTTTATTTGCCCTGCCTGCCCCCTCACTTGTCCTGTCTGCCCCCTCACTTGCCCTGTCTTCCCCCTCACTTGCCCCAGAAGTCTTTATTGCTATACTCGTTATCCACCCTGGAGTTGTCCATGTCATCTTTGAGCTGTTTCAGGAGCTTGTTGGAGCGCAGCTTCTGAGCGGCCGATCTCACGGCGAAGATGACGATGACCACCAGGACAATGCCTCCGATGGCGATGAGGACGATCTGACCGAGGGTCAGTCCACTGGACGTTTCCATGAAGTCTGACCATCGTATAGAGAGAAATCAAAGAAATAGAGATAACGGTAAACATTCTAAATATGAAAATGATAGAAAAATTATGAGATACATAAATAAAGTATAGTATTTGCTTCAGAAAAATGGAATGGAAAGGTAAGATAAGAATGAAAAGAATTATCTGAGACATAAGCATGGTAAATACAGCCAGATGAGAGTATGTATTCAAATATGCTCCTAGTGATTCTACATGCTACAGGGAAGGAAATATGTAAGTACACTTATATAGCATTTAGACAAACAACATGGGGGGAACTAATGAAAACATTTACAAAAGGATATAAACTTAAAGCAAAGCACAGTGTCTTCCTGTATCAACACTGGATTTGATTTCTGACACTGTGCTTTTACCCTGCAACAAATAATTATATTTACAGACTCTTACCTCAACTTAGATGTGGAAAGTGAGTAATTTGTAGGAAAACATCCTTTAAGGAATTTTAGAGCTACTAAAGCTGATAATGTAATGAGCACTTTCCAAACTCCTCCCCCCCTAAAAAAATTATAACATTTTCCAGATATTTCTGGAATTCTACATGCAAAGAATCAAAAGCACAAAAATGTCTTGAATATATGGTATGACCATTTTCTTTACTGATTTGCCTCTAATAAGCAAATCCAGAGTTACATAGTTTTTTTTCAGTTATTTCTGATCTCCTTACCTGTGCATTGGGCTTCATCGCTGTTATCTCCACAGTTGTTCAAGGAATCACAGATGAGAGAAATATCAATGCATCTACTGTTGTTACACTGAAACTGAGCAGCCGTACATGGTGCTGGAAGGGGTGAAGAAAATGAATAGCAAGAAAAGTTAGCTTTACAGTCAGTGTTTAAAAAGAAATTAAATTATATTTCGTGGGTGTTTCTTTTAAAAAAGCACCTCATTTCAAGAATAGTTCTTGTAGCGCAAGCTAATTAGTCTCCTTTTGATTTATATACATTTTGATTGATTAAAAAGTTTTGATTGATTAAAAAGGTTTGATTGATTAAAAAGGTTTTATTATGATTGCACTTCGCAGCCAAATGGCTGAATTATGTATAATTATACATGGTTAATCTAAGGTATTCTGCATTTTCATCTCCATTTTGTCATCTATTTCTAGAGAATTCCATGTCAGTTCCTGGAACTGATTAGTGTCTTCAAATGTAGTGAAACTAGCTTGAAAAGATGCAAGTCGATAGCAGCATTGTATATTTAGATTAACCAAAAACTTTACTATCTTCTTAAACTTGTTGATGAGTACAATATTTTAAGACTTTATATAGTGTAATTAAAGCCTGTCTGCACTAGTTTGGCCAGGGGGATTAGATCTCCCTGCAAGGTCACTGACAGGTGGTTATCTCATCAAATCAGCCCTCAATTAACATAAGAAAAAGAGGATCATGGGGGACCAACAGGCACCAATTAGGCATTGTTTGCTATATAGAGGGTGCAAGTAGCTATAAGTAGTGTGGTGGGGCTTTAAGTGTATTAATCAAGTGTAAGCCCACTACCTTGTTTTTTGAAGAAAAAAATGAAAAAAACCTCACCATCTTCAAATACTGTGTAGAGGATACCAAATCCCAGGCTGACCCCAGAGTCGTCCGTCTCAAACACGAAGGTCACATTGCTGCCAGTGGAGACCACCTCAGACAGGGTCTGGCGGCCGCAAAGCTTAGGGCTCAAAGGTGATGCCAGGTCACTCTCTCCATCATGCACCCTCAGACTGTCCACACATTCTCCTGTTGTAAATAAGAATAGTAAGGTTGGGTTAGTAACGGCTGGAATGCTCCCCAGGGAGTGGAGATTGTGCACACAGTGTGTGTGGGCAAGTATTGAATCCAATGACCAGGTTAACAGTATATCTGTAAAGCACTTAGAGACATCATAGATGTATCTAAGCGCTATACAAAAATGGAATTATTATTATTAGTAGTAGTATAAAATTTTAGATGATAGACAGGGAAATGGAAAAGAGACTGATACTAACTAAAACCCAGTTTTAGAAATGTAATTGCAAACATATACATTTCCCAGGATGTGAAATATGCACGAGTACAAGGCATAAACAACTTGTATTAATGGAAACGCAAACTACACATGTACACTGTTAACAAAGGGCATTACCGTACTTTATTTATGCTTATCAAGAAGTGATAACTAATCAAATTCTATTTCCTAATTAGAAAGTACAAATTTATCAGCATGAAATAATAAGAAGTTACTTGCTACTAAGAGTTCACAATTTATTTCACAATAAGTAAGTATAAATTTATCAATATGAAACAGAATTAACTCTAAAACAGTAAAAGGGAAAAAAGAAAACAAATCATGAGAAAGAAACATTGATTTTGCTAGATTGTTTTCACCATTTACAGCCTCTTCCAAGACAAATCTGTTGAACTGCAAAAGCAGCTTCTTGTTTGAGTCTGTAGAAAGGACTACATGACAGTCCTGATTGTTACTGTATCGCAGGCTGCTGTCCGGCTCAACCAGGCCTGTGATATCTGCTGGGATTGTAGTATTACAGCTGTTGGACAGATATGCTGATGAAAAAAATGGAACAAAAATTTGGGTAAGTAACTGTAGGTATAATATACTCACCCAGTAGTTTAACCATCACTATCAGACTACTATTAGTATCAGTATCACATACAACTTACAAGTGTTATCATTGCAATATCAATTATTTATTATTTATAAAAAATAATACACAGATCAGACGTATGTGAGTGCATTATGGTCGATGCAGCGCATGAGGGTATTCACTAGCCAAGTTTATTTTGTGCCATTGTGAATTGCGAATCAGTTCCATCAATTCCAATTTAAACAAGACTGCAATGCACTGTTTAACAAAATACTAAAAAGTGATAACTTGGAAAACTCTTCATCTTTGTTAGAAGTTAGACCCAGATTTAGTCGCTAGTAATTGGTAAGACTAAATAACAGTTCTGAAGCCAGGGGAATCATACATTCTATCTAAGTATGAATGGAAAAAATTGATGCAAATGAAAGAGACTTATAAAGATGAGGTGAGACTGAAACAAGTGCAAAATTTGGCGCTAGTTTAAAAGCCTATCCAAAATTTGAACCGTAACTCCGGCGTGGAGATGCCCTACTAAAAAAACGTACCCAAAATGCAGTAAATATTCATTAATGTCCCAATAAAGATCAGCGATTTGCTGAGAAACTTGTGAAAAAGTGTATCTAATATCAATGCTTTTCCGAAAATCTACTCCAAAAAAATAACAAGAAAATTTGAAAATTGACACGAAACAGGTAATAAACATAACAACTTTTAAGTAACTCACGATCTTTATGTGGACATTTAAAGAATATTTACTTCATTTTGGGTACTTTTTAGAAGGGTATCTCGACGCCAGAGTTACGGGTCAAATTTTGGATAGTCTTCTGAATTGAACTAGACCTAGCGCCCAAAATTTACGTTTCGGCATTACACCACTTGACATACGGTACAGCATACATGCCAACATTTGAAAATCAGAAATCTGTACAAATTATGCTATTTTCAAAAAAAAGAGGAACAATCCTAACTCTCCTATTCAATACTACAGACAAATTTGTACAGGAAGAGGAACACCTGCATTAAAATGATAATTATCTTCTCCCAAAAAGAGGAATGTTCCTCTTTAATCTGAACAGTTGGCATGTATGCATACAGTAGGCCTACACAGAAATGAGTAAGTGGGGCAATATAGTGCATTCGTTTCCTAATTTGCCTTTCCTCTTTTGACAGAATATCTTCCTAATTTGAATACTCTCTTCGATTGAACTAATAAAACAAATACATGAAATACTTACAAACTTGAAGTGATTCTCCAAATGCGAACATAATAGACATAATGAGCACAAAAACGTTAAAATCTGTACTTCTTTTTGGTAACAAAATCGTTCTAGTTAAAGTTGTAGTCGCCATTTTGATTGGGTTCATTTACTAATTTTTAGGGGATGTAAAAAAGAAAGCAAATCATAATATTTTATTTTAATCAATTGTATATAATTCTAATGGCATAAGTAGTATTTTTGAAATATATGAAAGTCAATTCAATTATGTTATTAAGGGTGTAAATATTTTTAGAGGAATAAACTAAACCTTCACCAGACAACTGCTCCCCTTCGCTTAATGATTTCAACCAATTGTTTACCATTGCCATGCAACAATACAACCACCAACCAACTTGTACCGGATTTCACATTGGCCTTCGAGCTTCGTTGCGACTTTCGATCAACCTTTCCTATCTTGGTAGTATATTTCTAAATGACGCATAAAGAAATGAAAAACTAAAAGGTTGTCTGATTTCCCAGATGTATATAGACATGTGGTCTCGTAACAGAGTGGACGGGGATAGGGGGTAAAAAAATCAATTCAAGGAGGTTGTGCCCCCCGGCCCCCCCCCCCCCCCCCCCACTCAGTGTTATTTAGGGTACGCATATGCTCGTTCCCTCTTTTTAAAAGCACCCCCTATCTGAGGACTGCCAACATTTCCAAACCCCCCTTTCGCGGGCTTTTCGCGGGCTTTTCCTGCCTTGGAGACCCCCCTAAATCAGGAAAAATGCTCAATGTAGACTACCCCCTAAATTCTGAATAACTTCTCAGAAGTCCAAAGAGATCAGAGAAAAAAAGGAAAAACACCCCCTTTTTAAAGAAATCTCCGGGTGAAAAGTCAAATACAAACCTTTTTTTTTTACAATTCTCGGGCCGGACTTTGTCGCACGAAAAGCACCCCTTTACCGGATATTTTGGCAACACGCATGCGGTCATTCCGACCCCTGAGTGGGGGGGGGGGGGGGGGGGGGCGGGGTTGTGCCCCTTGGTTAGGCAATTTTTCTAATGAACAAGTCCCCCGGCATGACTTATAATAGTAATGATAATCATAATAATAATAATAATAATAATAATAATAATAATAATAATAATAATAATAATAATAATAATAATAATTATGTTCCCTAATTAAGGGAAGCCTCATTAGCATCCATCATCGCTGTTCTTCCCACTGGCTTTGCAATTCGCATTACCCCCAACAATTGTTAGGTACCTATTTAGACCAGGGTGAACATGCCAAAAGTGGATTAATGCCTTATATACAAAATCATATAGTGTCGGCCGGGCTGGAATTAGAACCCTCGACCCTAGGATTGCGGGCCACGTTAGTGACACGGTACCTACACCTTAAATCCGTATTAATAATAATAATAATAATAATAACAACAACATTTATAATGCGCACACAAAATATCTCAATTAAAGGCGCCTTAACACATTTGGAAATAGGGACCATTGGTTGTTTACCATACAAGCATGAAACTTATAGCAGTCAGATAAAATAAATAAAGAGAGAGAGAGAGAGAGAGAGAGCGTGTAGTGGGTTGAAATACCCCGTCTTTTTTCTCAAAATTCTGTCTGAAAATTTTGCCCAACAATTCCCTAATGTTGGAATTGGAAAGTGCTTTGCGATGATAATGTCTTTCCTAAAAATAAAACAAAAATTAAAAAAAAATGTATTTTTTTTAAATCGTTGACTGGCAGGTTTTTTGTCAAGAGAGCCAAGGATGTACGTCAGCACTTATTCAAGAATATGGTCAGTTCCCAGAAATTAATTAAATAATAATGATTGATTCTTGTTTGTTTATGAGTTGGCCTACACGTGCAATGAAATAACTTCTGGATCGAAAAATGTGCCAACGAAAATCTCATTTAGTATTGATTATGATAAGACCCATCAGCCCGTCCTCGTTCGACATAACTCTGTGCAGTGAATGGGTGGTTCAACTTTTATTTCTTGCTCCTTTTGGAAAGCGCAATGGAAATATCAAATATGGGAACATAATACATAGTTTCGAATTGGTTTTAAAGACATTAGAAATTTGTCTTTGGAAGAAGAGAACATCTTCGTTAACAGCTAAAAAAAAAAAATGACACGGATTAAATTAGAACTATGTAAATGCACGATCTAATCATTCTGTTACTACGACTGGACAGTGTGTTATACTAATCGTTCGGACAATCCGCGGGGTTGTGACTAAACTTTGATGACCATACGCGAGCGCCTTTAACCTCTTTGTTTGTCTTTTAGAAAGGACGAAAGTAAGAATTACCAAATCATGGACAATTATTCATTCTCATTATCGGCACTTTTTGTGATACTGATCTGCGGTTATAGATGCGGGTTATCAATGATACAAGAAGGTGAGTAGTGTCTTTTTGCTTAATTACTTCTGGGGGGGGGGGGGGGGCGGGGCGATTCTTGTCTACCGGTATGTCAAAGCATTATAGTGAGCATTATAATGACAATGTTTATCAATATTTATTCTCTATCATAATACTTATTGACAGCTGCTCATGAAGATACCATGTAAATATTGTAATTATAATCGAAAGAATATGACCGTATACATTTCAGGGAAGCAAATGTCCTGATTCTTTTCATCTGCACTGCCTCACCGATTATCTTTGTTTACCCTATTATCTACTGCGGTTCTAGGACGCCTACCCCCTCGACAACCACCCTCCAGATAACCACCCCAAGGATAACTACCCTCTAGGACAACTAATCCCCTGGGACAAGATCCCCCTAGGGCAACTACCGGCCTCTAGGACGACTATCCCTTAGGACAACTACCCCCGGATAACTACCCCTATAGGACAACTAACCTCCTGGACAATTACCCCCGGACATCTACCCCCTAGGACAACAACCCTCCAGGACAACTACCCCCGGACAACTGCCCCAGACACCCCCTACGAAAACCACCCTCTAGAACAACTTACCCTGGATAACTATCCTGGTTATCCTAGGGGTAGTTATCCGGGAGTGGTTGTCCAGGGGGTAGGTGTCCGGATAAAATCTACTGCAACATATTTATTTTATTTCCACTCTCCTTCTCTTCATCCATATCACATAAACATAAAGTTCTTTCCATCAACTATCATTTCTTCTTCTTCTCCTTATTCGTCCTCTTCTTCTCCATCCTCATAACATCAACGTCGTCGCCGTTATCATCATCCTCATGTTTTTTCTCCCCTTTTACAAATCTTTCCAAATCAGTTTACATGTTAGAGAATTGCGAGTCGACGATCTCGACGGACATCGCCTTCTATCGCTCTGGTTTACTTCACTCTCAGCGGGAACAAATTTATCAAAACGATGTGGAATGCCGGATAACAATAACCACGGACAGAGACAAATTATTACTCATCGTCTTCGAAGATTTCGACATCGAAGGTGATGTAGATCGTATTTGTTTCGATGCCTTGTGGTACGTTGACGGGGCGGTGAACTCTTCGCAAGCCATATTTGAAAACGGTAGGCCGGTTTGTAAAATTATCATTTTCTATTTAAATTATAACAAGATACGTCACAATGTGCATGATCATTTTTGACGAATACCAACCGAGGATGAATGATATAGTTGAAAATATGTACACATAATAAGGCAAGCTTTTATTTATTACACCAGAGGAACTATCATATGTATGAGCTTTTACAAATATAATTACTGTTATTTTTTATTAATGAAAATTGGAAGAAAGAAACAAAAACAATTGCAGTAACAAAAGGAAGTATGCGTCTTATTCATTTTTTCTTATTATTCCTAGCAATCTTGATGAAAAAAGTGGATCCGCCGAGAGAGTGAGAGATTAGATCAGGCGTGACGATTAGCTGTGCTTTACCATTGGCCGAAATATTAACAAATCACTTTGTATTTTATTGTGTTTCTCCTTTAAAAAAAAACATAAAGGCGAAGCATTCTGCGGCCGTGAAGATGAGATTGGTGATCTCGCCTCCAGTGGGCCATCCGTCACCCTTTTGTTGAAGACGGATGACGCAACCCGCAAAAATGGTTTCAGACTAGTTTACACAAGTTTTCAAACAGGTATAAATTTCGTTCAAGTTGGATGAATTCAATAACCTGCATGTACTGCTAAAGAGATTGCATTGTATATGAAACACAAGGAGCGTCGATCCATCCAGGGAGGTGAAAGAAAAGGAGGCGAAACTCTTGTAATTTATTCAAACGCATTCTTGAGTTCTAAAGCGTAACAATGGGATGTGTAACATTCCACTTGGCTTTGAAGTTCCATGCTCCGAACCGCGCTTCCACTGCGGGGACTTTCGGAAGCCAGGCTCCAGTTTTACATTTATTACAAAATATTAAATTACCGGCAAAATTTCAGTTTAAATCAAAAACTTTAGATGGGGATTTTATTGGGAATAGTGCATCAAACAAATTTTCAAATTTAAAAATCCGTCCTTCCTTTAATTTGTGTGCCAGAGTTGGTAAAAGAAAAATTACATCCTGTCAAAAACTCAATATTTTAGGATGATGCGCTAATTTGTGCATGCTTTAATGTCTCGTTATTTGATCCATGGTTTACAATCTTCAATAACATTTAGTTTGCTAATGCGTGTTTTCGCGTGTTTTTTGTATTTTTCAAGTTTAAAAAAGGATGAAAGTACACAAGTTTGTGTTCGCTTGTTCTACTCTTTACACATTCAACATTGGATGAGAAATCATTGGAAGGGACAGCGAACAGTTGCAGTGATACCATTTTCTGATGTAGGAATTCTAACTCCTGAAATTTCATGCGCTCTTTTATCTCACCACCTGGTCAACAGTTGCAGATTAGCGCATAACTTTTCGGCGGCTTGGAGCATGGGGTCAAAGGAGAGCGGCTTGATTCCAGTCCTTCTCTATCACGTCCCTGATCCATCTGGCATCATGAGGGTTCAAAGGGAGGGGGGGGGGGGGGGGGGGGGGGGCAAACACACTTAATTAATTGGAACTTGTAATGTGGGGCGATCAAATCATTTTACACTTACATTTAATGTAGCATGCAATCAATGAGATTAATCAACTAAATAAAAACATCAATAAAAACATCTCTCTCTCTCTTTCTCTCTCGTAATGATCAAGGTCCGTGTAACGCAAGTGAGTTTAGATGTACCAACGGGAGATGTATAATTGCTCAACTAGTCAACAATACTCACGATAACTGCGGAGATTGGAGTGATGAGCCAGCCGTAGGTAAATTACAGGGATCTTTCTTTAAAAATACTCGGGGTTTTTTCGATTTACGAAAAAAGTTAACACTGTATACATGCATTTCACTTTATCATTTGAAAGACTCGCACACTGTCGGCAATTGGGTAAATTTGAGGTACATCAAAATAGTTATAGTATATATCACATGCCAACGGCTGATCAATGGCATGATCGTATTTGCGTTGAGCAATTGCAACAGACCAAATATCATGAAAAATACATTCAATATAAATTAAATTTGGACACAAAATGACGGAATATATTGCCGCATGCTATGACACAATCATCGTCATTATCATACATTGGGGTGCACGATTTTTATTGAAATTTTACCGGCCAAAATATTTGTTCATCATTTTAAGTACATGCAGTGACATTCTTAACAAATTCGTTTATTTTTCTGCTGTTGATAACCATTGAAAGTTTCCTCTAAATTCATTTTATATTTGCTTCTCCTCATCTCCTCATGAGTTATATGAGAACCTTCTTTCATTGCTTTCTCCAGATACACAACGAGAACCACCCAGGAATGGCAAAATCGCAGAACTGGGTATCGGCCTCATAATCGGCATCGCGGTTGCGGCGTCTCTAGGGCTTCTGATTTTCATCGTCTGCACGCTGTGTATCATCTACCATGCATTGTGCGCGAAGATATTGTGTCCAAATCACCATAGCAACGAGCAGCAAGTAAAAGATGCCGAAGTCGTTGCGCCGCCAATATTTCGATCTTCGTCTCGAGTCGGAGAAGTATTGATTAATGACCGATCGCGAGCAAGAGACGCCTGGATGTAATACTGCAACATTCCTTTTCACTGGTGACATCAGTTCAATAAGATAATAAATATTATGTCTTTCGTAATCTTCATTTATAGTTTCCTTAGCCATTACCAAGATACAGGTCTTAAAACAGATGCCTGATAAGTCGTTAGGAAAAGTGATGAAGATTAATTATCTATCATTAGAATAAGATGGGAATAATTTGAATTGTTATCAATTACATACAACTTTTTAAATAAAATCAATCTTCAATTGAGAAACTAAGACCTGAACACAGAGCATGTTTTATCAAATATTAATTGTTTATACAATAAAAAATGTGGACATTAGCAGCACAATCTATTAAAGAAGTCTCAATTCAAAATGTTACATAATGAATAATGTCTTCTCATTTACCATACATACACACTATAAAAACATTTAGTTACAAGTTCATGTATCATATGTCAAATAAACGCTTCTTTATCACACTGTTGTACTCAGAACAAATTGATAAAACGACCACTGTTCATGGCAATGATTTTTTAGCAATATTTTAATAACATGATGCACATGACATAAAATGCAGACTAACACAATTCAATGATGCTTGGTCTACAAACCGTGAAATTTGTACAAAAGTACATTATGTTCTTCTGCATCCAAGATTTATCATAAAAAGGTAAACCTCGACAATATAACGATAAAACACATAAGTGGCTTAATGAGTGTCCATCCGTTATATGCACCATCAATTAGGTAATAATACCACCTTATTCCATTAAATTACAAAATGATATACAAACTACCTTCCCATCAATTGATTTCATTGTACATATGTTTACTTTAACAAGACCGTCGTGTATTACGATCTTCTTTAATTCTTGTGCTGGTATAGTTCAAGAATCAAAGTGTATGACATTTCTTAGGATGTCCAAAGTCTAATCAAACATGGTGTGATTTGTGACCAACATCAAGGATTCATAATGTGGTTTTTGATATTGAGGTGTTGTGGATTAGTAGACTAGTCTCCGGCCTGTGAACCACAAGATCCGAATTCCTGGCTGCAGCACTTATGTCCTTTGGCAAAACATTAATCTACATTTGCCACTCTCGACCCAGGGGTAGAAAGTGGGTACCTGGTAGGATTCATTCCTTGAATACATCAAGAACTATGGTTGCCAGAGCTAAAGCTGGGTAACAATATCCCAAGAGTCTTTGGAAGCATAAAGAGATGTTATATCACATTCCAGAACAGAGTATTATTATATTATATAATAGAAAATTTAAAAAGTACTCTATTTAACAAAAAGATGTTGTGAAAAGATGTTGTAAATTGAGGATACAAGTAATTTTTTTCTCTTTGCTTTGTGTACATTATCAGCTTTTCAATTGCTCTTGCACAGTACCTACGTGTTTGCCATCACTGGATTGAGCTCCATTCAAATGATACATGCGGAATATAGAGATACAGAGATCATGACAATTCTATATCTCGGATGACAACCAGATTACTCAAGCAACTTACATGTATACACTCAACTGACATAAAATGTAGAAAATGAGCTCTATATAACTTATTTCCCTGCCATCATATCACGTTAACCTTTGTTGTGCATTAAAATAGACATGCATACGAGTACATCTAACAACAGATGATGGTGCACAACTTGTTACATGCGTGAGAACATAAACAGCGCATGATCACATCGCTGAATCCATTAGCCTTAACATCAGTACGATTGGGATAAATGTATCCTGTTTATAATAATCATCAGTTTGAATAAAAAACTTAAAAATAAGAGAATACATCACGTGTTCTAAATATGTGAAACAAACACAAAACACATCTGATTCCTTTCACAACGAGGTCAGTTTTTCTACTTCATATAATTTAATAAATCCCAAAGCTGGATCTAAGATCACGTTTAACAAAGGAAAACTTAGATCTCAGCCTAACTTCAATTCTAAAACCCAATTCGGAACAAAAGCTTAGGCTTGGCGTTAAGTTTAAGTTTGAGTAGAATACAAGCACTAAAGAATAAAATCCCTTGCATTATGTTTAAATGTTGATAGTGAACACTGTGCAGTCAACATACTTATTCCTATTAAACAATAATCAGATCGCGAGAATGGCATTCAGTACACTTACATTCAGCAACAGGTGAGGAACCTATCGTACAAAACTTACAAAACGATCAAGATATTTACATAAACAAAGTACTATTTACATATGGATATGGGGCATGGTGCGGGTGTAGTTTGAGGATGATTAGAAATCAATGCCTCTATCTAAAGTTTCCGTAAACACGAGACAAAAATATGCATTTTCATAATTGTTTGTATGTCACGTTAATAATGTCATAATTGTAAATCAGCGGAGTTTCATAGTGAAATAATTAAGATTCAGCATCTAGATTGATCAGAACTGCCTTGGATAATCTCCCAAAATGGTATTCCTGTACATTTCATATTGTGAACAAAAAAAACTTTATTTTCACAAAGTGCACATGAAACATTGAACCTGGCAAAGTCGAGCAAAGCTGTTCTTTTCAAAAAATTATTTCATCTACAGAGATACAACTTGTACAATCTGAATGACAGTATCAACACAAATGTTTGGTTGAATTCCTCAACTGACTAAACAATGCATACGCTAGGATGGAAGAAAGTGACAATTGTTGACCACAGATATCATTTGTCTCCTTGATACTGAATTTGCTGTTAAAAATTGTCCGCTCAAATTTTTGAGACACAAGGTTCAAGATCTGTATTGCGCTTCCATGCTCCTACAGACTATATTTACAAAAGTGAGATTAAAAAGCAGTCTTTTGTGGATCAAAGCTGCTAGCTAGCTAGCTTACATGCCGACATCTACAGAATATCTTGATTGCTTGATTACTGGTAAATGAAGTTGAATCTGAAAGTGGAAACAAAGGAGAAAACAAAATTTACATTAGTTACATTTGTGAAGTGAAATGTCTTATATCAACCAAATGCTCACCCAAAAAGATGTTGATAGTTCAAGTTTTTGACAATTTTTCACATTTCTAAATACATAGAATGTCTAAAACTGGCAACTATATGCAACGTAAATGATTATATAGACAAGGGATAAAATAAAATTGCAGTGTCGGTATGATCCAACAAGCTTAACTGCCAACATCCATTTGTAAGACATACCAATCAACCAAATAATTAAATTCCTAGTATTAAAAAAATGGAGGTAAACAGGTTCCATAATCATGAGACTAATCAGAAGAAAGAAAAAAATTTGTGGGGAATAAATAAGGACTTTATTCAAAGAGAGCTATATACTATCTGCTATACAGAGTGAGTCAAAAAAAAGTTTACACCTAGAAAATTGCTAATTATTTTATAAATCATCTATGAACAGTAAATTACTATACATCTTATGAAAGAGTGTTTTATCCCGGATCATTCAGTATCAATTTTGTGTGGTATGTGTTCACGCTTGGGTGAACAGGAGGCATTGTTTGCGAGAGTGCAAAAATCGACTTGCGCCAAAGTTGCCTATGTGATGTTTGAATAAAACAATTGGGATTTGGATATCAATTCGGTCTTTGCAGATCCAAATAACACCCCTAATAAAATTAATCATGCCACACATATCAATAATCTAATATAAAATATCAAGGAACATTTGTGCGTGTGTGTGTGAGTGTGTTTGACTTTGCCCTTTGCAAAAAACATATGCAATGCATTTCATTTGATACATTCAAGCCATTCTCTCACTCCACTAATCCCAACATAATACATACTAAAGGCATCACTTTGGCGCAAGTCGATTTTTGCACTCTCGCAAACCAAATGATTTGGGATAAAACACTCTTTCATAAGATGTATAATAATTTACTGTTCATAGATGATTTAAAAAATAATTAGCAATTTTCTAGGTGTAAACTTTTTTTTGACTCACACGGTATACTAACTGCGCATGGGCAGATAAAAGTCATATGTTCCCAAATTGTAAAACCCATCGAGACGAATACCGGTATTGTGCTCATGAAAGTTATGTACCCTGTACTAAGTATTCATTTATGCACTGACAGTACATTTATCTGATACAAAGGTTGAAGTATTCTTCTCAAGAGGCAAACAAAAGGTATTCATGAAGCACATCCATCACTTCAGCAGTGATTATTCTAAAGCACACAAGTGGGACGTATCCATCTTGTAAAAGATCTGTGGATATTTTGGGTCATGCGTTCCGAAGCTATTTACGAACTGGCTTATATCTAGAGAAAGAAGAATATTATGGATTACAAACCTACCTGCTAAGTAGCTGCGGTAAGCTGGATATGACAGGGCCATATCCTGGTGAATTGTCGTAGAGTTCAAAGAGAGGCGCAGCTACCAGCTTGTAATTCCTTGGAACAGCAAATAGGGCTATAAACAGGAGATAACGATACAAATACATTTATTTATTTATTTATGCATGTTCCCAATTTCATAATTCATTGGAGTTAACATCACATGAAAAAGAATAGAATATAACAATGTTTTATCAAAGAGAATTTGCAACTATTACCGTATACAGTTTAAAGAATGAACACACAAAGGTGATGAGACATAAGCATAGATCTTGAATCGTTACAACACATTTCAAATATGACAAACAAATTCCTAAAGGGTTGTGAGCGAATAATAATATGTTCAGTGGAAGACACATTTAACCATTTGGAATATTCTTGGGTGCACAAATGATATGTTCTGTAATTCAACAGTTTTATTCAGTCATGTCAGCAGAGGTAATCAAAAAAAAAGGAATGAATGAAGTAAGTAAATCAATATTTTACAAGTTCAGATACTTACCCTTTTCCGCTAGTTGTACAAAGTACAGTTTTTTATGTTCCTTTGGCTTTGTTATATGAGCTGGAATGTAAGGATACTGTGGAGAGAACAAATATGAATGGTATCAGTACTAAATACATTGGTAGTAAGTAGAGTAGAGAACAGACAAAATAATTTGACAGTCTTTTTACAATATAGCATGCAGAATTAAAGCTTCAGCATTCTTTGCCAATCCCTGATCTTTGTTTTGGTCCTACATGTACATGTGTATGTTGTCTTAAACTCATTTTTCTTATTATTTGGATTTCATGTAATCACCAGACTCCGCATCAACACAATTATCATTATCATCAGTTTCATCACTATCCTCCTCCCCCTCCTCCTCAAATCATATCCACCACCACCACCACCAATGTCATTCTCCTCTTCAAATCACCACTATCATCAACATCATCACCACCAACACCACCACAATTGTATTCTCCATCATCATCATCATCATTCTCCCAGTACCTTTTCATGCAAGTATTATTCATCATTGTCACCCTAATATTGACATCCCATCCCCACCACTAACACCACTACTGTCACCACCATCACAATCAATCATGATGGTAATGATGATTAATTGATGATCATCATCATTAAACTTACCTGAGGAGGTTCAAAGTTAGGTCTGTACCAGTTTGCAATGATATCTTCTACCATCCAGTCTTGCTGGACACCATCTTGTCTTCCAAGAATCTGATTTATTAAAAAAGATATAAACAAAAAATGAAAATCAGAAATTCATCAAAAAGTTGAAAAGTAATGTCTGAATGTTAGGCCATCATTCTTTTCATGCAGAGATTCAAAGAAACTCGTATTTCCAGTTAATTTTTTTTTTCCCCTTCAATTTACGTACCGGTATGTTCATCAAAATGATTGGCTAAGCCTAAAAATAACTGAAATTTGGTCTAGAAAATAAGGCCACGTACATGTATTACTTTAATGACATAATTAGCTTTATCATTTGGTACTTTCAAAGGAATAGTTTCATTATATTCCCAGTTGAAACTCTTTTTCCCCCTTTAGTTTACCAGAGTATGTTAATCTAAACAATAGGCTAAGCCTAATTATAGCTGAATCTTCATGTAAAACAAATAAAGCCATGATTTATAAAAATTGAAATAAATAGCTTTTATCATTTGGTACTTTCAAAACTCAAAAGAACAGTTTAATTCTTCTAAATGTGACTGATTTCCTGGTCAAGGTCAACATTGAATGTCCCTTTTCATCATTTTCTTTTCTATATTCTTCATTTATATGTGCTTGAACTTAGTGTCACACATTTTCAGGCTATCAAGTGGCTATGAATTCATATTGTTCTAAATCGCTCTTGGTCCTAAAATTTCACACAGGATATGTAATAATTACATACAAGATACATATATCGAGATAATCGAGTACAGTTCAGAAGGGTGATGTTATACTGTAGCTTGCAAATAGCTGAAACCACTGTTTTGTTTTTCGTAACTCAAGAATGAATGGTGGACTGGTTGAATTAGGGCCTTTGTTGAATAACTTTAGATGTAAGCTTTAACATGTCATATTCTCAAGAAACATGAATCAGGACGAATCAATTTTTCACATTCTTAAACAAATTTCATAAATTGGACAGGGTATGAATCATTTAGTTGTCAAGTGTATATCTATCTCTGATATCTTACTTCTGTCATGAGTCTCTTGAGACCGTCCATCTCGTCTTCTCCAGCTTTGAGTTCTCCACCAGGCCTACATTAAAAAAAAGACACAAAAGAGAACCTTTATCAATGTTAAAATACATGTTGAATTCCCTCTAAAACTGTATACAAATATGGGAGGTAAATGCTCACAAATACCAAGGAACAACAGACAAATAAATTTTGTTTTGGTTTGTTTAGAGCCAGTCTGAGTTCAACTGTACTCATACAACAAACTGATGTCTGATATCTAACTGGAATAAATATAAAATAATTGGGTATTTGTAATCTCTGATTTCCTGCAAAAAGATAAAAGGTTATTTGAGTGGCCTAGGAAAAAACAATTAAACATGCAGATGCTAAATTAACAAGAAAAGCACATCTAAATGATATCTACACTGTATAGTGTATAGCCATGGGCCCTTAATGAAAATGGTGGTCAAACTGGAAATAATGAGGTGATATACAATGTATACTGCAACTGCATGTTGATCAATCGTTAATAAGTAAAAACAATGCATAAGTTGAAATTAAACTTACAATTTGAAGAATGTTGTGCCCAACTGCAGCAATAAAACATGAGGAAGATCATGTTCATGAACGATGAGGACTCCCTCTACAGACCGCCTTGTGCCCATCTTCTGGAATTCATCTTTCATCCGTTGGAACCTGGCTGGTACACTGGAATCTTTCTCATACAGGGGCTCTTTGGTGCCAAATGTGTAGTTTGTCAAAGGATATCTACCAAAATAGGAGAAAAATTTGTGTGACACAAGTTGAATGTGACTGCCACTATATTTATATGCCTCCGCCAATATGTATATTCAATTACCATGGAACCTTTAGAGACCTCACATTACCATAGTACCAATACCCTATGGCATTAGTAGGCCTGAGTCGAAACGGGTCCCCGCCCGGGCCCCGACCGTCGAGCTGAAACCCGGTTTTTGGTTTTCGGGTTCCGGGTTTTTCAAAATAAAATTTTCACACTGATATTTTGAAATATAGAACTAAAAATATGGAATTCACAAACTTATATTTCAATATAATCAAATAAATATGCTTTAGAAATAAATGGATATTGTTTCAGTTGACGGTAGGTGTTTTTATCGCTCTAAAATTGAGGCTGCAAGAAAGAAATCACGCTTCGTGGTACCGATCGAGTGCGTTCAGAAACGGAAGTGGAAATAGATCTATGACCCACTGAAGACAGAGCAAGAAAATGCCACACACAAGACTAAAATATTGATCAGACTATTGCAATTAAATCGTAATACTAAAGGCATTAATTTAATTGTCAAAATATATCCACAACATAATGGTTTACCCTCGATAGTTTGATGAAGGAAAATAAATTAAAGCTCTTGAAATAACATCGAAGTGCCTTTCGTTCGTTCTAAAAAATGAGTGTATAACGGCAAGCAGAAGTTACGAGTCAAGCTTGATATGCACGTTTAAATCCCTACACCGTCATCCGACCTGATCGGAACAATAAGCATTAAACCAATTAAAAAAACATCACGTAAGACTTTAAGGGACTCCAATTCAACAAAATTACCGTAAAATAATTATTTGCTTTGACAAATAATACTATAGATATTCATAATATCTTACAGAAATAATGATATTTCATGAGCTACGTACTCGATATCGAGTTCAGCTAGCCATCATTTTGAAATGAGACGTAGTTGTCATGCATGCAGCGCAGAATGCGGCAGCTCGCAGCTAGAGAGGGAAAAAAAAAATCACGTAATAGTCACGTGAATATCACGTGATCTCAGGCCCGCGCTTTTTCCTCTCTCTTCTGCATACTGCCCTCTACAGTCTACTGCATGACGACTACGTCTCATTTCAAAATGATGGCTAGCTGAACTCGATATCGAGTACGTAGCTCATGAAATATCATTATTTCTGTAAGATATTATGAATATCTATAGTATTATTTGTCAAAGCAAATAATTATTTTACGGTAATTTTGTTGAATTGGAGTCCCTTAAAGTCTTCCGTGATGTTTTTTAATTGGTTTAATGCTTATTGTTCCGATCAGGTCGGATGACGGTGTAGGGATGTAAACGTGCATATCAAGCTTGACTCGTAACTTCTGCTTGCCGTTATACACGCATTTTCAGAACGAACGAAAGGCACTTCGATGTTATTTCAAGAGCTTTAATTTATTTTCCTTCATCAAACTATCAAGGGTAAACCATTATGTTGTGGATATATTTTAACAATTAAATTAATGCCTTTAGTATTACGATTTAATTGCAATAGTCTGATCAACATTTTAGTCTTGTGTTTGGCATTTTCTTGCTCTGTCTTCAGTGGGTCATAGATCTATTTCCACTTCCGTTTCTGAACGCACCCGATCGGTACCACGAAGCGTGATTCCTTTCTTGCAGCCTCAATTTTAGAGCGATAAAAACACCTACCGTCAACTGAAACGATATCCATTTATTTTTTAAAGCATCTTAATTTAATTCCATCGATTATTTTATTGTTTTGAAAGCAGTAACTGTCTTTTCCGTCGCATTATTAGAACAGCAACTTAGTCTAACTCCCGCCGCTGCATGCACACGATTTTTAGTGTCAGTGCAGTGGTGAAAATTTCGGGTACCCGGTCCCCGCCCGAAATTTTCAAGTCAAACCCGGGTTCGGCAAAACCCGTGATGACTCAGGCCTAGGCATTAGCACAGCAAGCAGAGACAAAGCACTGAATGACAGTCATGACTGTGATAGTCGACTCTTCAAACTTTAAACAACCAGCTAGAGAAAGATAGATGGAAGATTGAAGATAGACTCTAGCCTAGGTCTGGAAACTTGACTGCAGTATTGACTGCATTTTTCAAAGTACTAACAAAGTTAGTAGATTCGATAAAGCCTGTAGATACTAGATGTAATATAACCAGACGTTGTGTATGATTGTATCCACTATCCGGACACTTTATTTTAAACAGTAATTTGAAGAAGTTATACATATGTATGTAAGCAATATTTCATAACACTTCAAAGAATTATTTCGGGCAATATTCATGATGGTTATTGCTATTTAATGAATATTTTTTATTTAATCCATAGGCAAATGAGCAGACTTTATTTTTGTCAAGACATTAACATATGACTCAAGTTATGTGTTTGGACAGACAACTTCCCAATCTTAGTAATGGTCATCTTTCATTTCTCCAAAAATCTGAACTGCATGTTCATCAAATGAGCACAGACATATACTCTAACGTTGGACTAGGGCAACTGATCCAATGTACTTACAAGATTGTTTGGCTTTGGCAATCTCAAAACTTAATTTTTTGTTTTGTTACTTAAAGAGAAAGTTGAGTTCTGGGAAGAGGTGAAAAATAATTTGTGAGCGTTATCATTCTTATTATGCAAGTGTGGAAGAACATCATATAAGACATGTTCCCTGAAAAGCATGGCTCTTCAAATGCCTTCATATTCTAAATGTCATGTAACATCGTAAAACTCGGGGGTAGGATTTTTACGCCACGTGTTCGTATAGTCCCATATACATCTTTCTGTGTACAGTGTTTGTAACTTTACCAAAACTTGGCCAAATCTCTTATCATTTTGATGATTCCAGAACCTTGCAATACACACAAATTCTTATATGCTAGATGATCAACCTTTTCTGGTCGATTTCACACCGTTTCTTTCACAATGCAATCGCATGACCAGAACTCAACTTCATCTTTAATATGAATTACACCTTTTTTGTATTGTGAAAATGATATGATAGGATATTTGCATTGCCCTGAAAAAATGTTGAAGATTAAACCGAATGAGCTACAATATTGACCTTGGATAGTTTAGTTATTCTGCATCAAGAAAGTATTTTTGATAATGTTTACTATCTTTTTAATTCATTTTAGCAGTTTTAAGGATATTCTGGAAGTTTGACTTAATTTGGGCGGAACCGTAATAATTTCCAAGTCAAATCTTAGATACATATGTAGATCTACGTACAAATAAAGTTAGAGCTCCCAGCATGAAATTCATCAACATTAATTGGCCATTTTTTACCCTCGACTCCGGCGTGGAGATACTAGTTCTTACTCTAACACACCAAAATTCATCTAAATCTTCCACAATTGCTCAAATAACAATCATGATTTAAAGTCGTTATCTTTTGTACCTCTTTCGTGTCAATTTTCTTATTTTGGGGAGGTTATTTTTCACGCACATGCATGAAGTTACATGGAGCGATTGTAATCTCAAAATACTCAGATCCTCATTAAATTCATGCAAAGAAAGAATTAGGCCTAGATCTACCCTTTCTCCCATCAAAACTAAAGTCAAAGACTTCTTCAAATTATAATTTCAAATGGTTGGACATGTTGGAAGGATGCCCAGAGGAATCGAAAAACATTGTAGATCTAGTCTAAGTCAAAATTGAAATTACTGTCTCTTTACATTGCGCAAAAATGTCACCAAACCCGCTGTTTGAATGGCTCTGGAGCTCCAACGCCCTCGGCAGCGGCATCGTCGGTCCCTGGAGTTAATCATGACCGAAATCAGTCTCCCAACACAGACTCATTCACTTTACACACAAAAACCCGACAATTGATTGAACATTTTCGTTCCATTCAAGGACTCGGTTTGACATATAGAAAAAGAGGGAACCTGTTAGATTTACCACTGCTAATTAATCAAAATACTTACAATATTGCTGTCCTTTCACGATGCACACCAGCTGTACTTTTGTGATTGCTAGAGTCTGAAACAGACCTTCCTCTGGGCCAGCCAGCAGAACTTCGTTCACGCGGGGTAGTAGCCATCTTTTCTTGTTGACTGTGCAGCTGCTAATCGTAGATGGCGCAATACCAAACTCACTTGAGAGATCATAGGATCTCTATGCAAATTCATCAGACTACCGGTAGATCGTAGACATGACTCGAGTGCGAGTTTGGGTTGAGAAGTAGCAGCACATGCCCTTCCAAAATAAATTCTGTGCCCCTCCCTCTCACCCCCCTCCCAAAAAAAAACACAGTTGTAATGTCTCCAATATGAAGACCAGCAAAAGACAATGCCCGTAAATTAACCTTATGATATTGTGGTTTTCTGGTGCATTTTGGCTTTAACATTTGGATATGAGGGGGGTAGGGGGGGGGGGGGGGGTGCTCGAAGAATCAATCTGGAAGAAATGCTTCCTTTTGGTAAGGGGGGCAAGATGCATAGCTTCATGAAAAGACTTTACTGATCCATTTCTCACAAAATTATTTTCATAATGAATTGATGTAGTTCATACAAAATTAATGCTTCTCGGAAAACACAGAAAAGTCTGTGAAGAAGCTTCTGGACTAAAGAAACTCAGACAACTGGTATGAAAGTTCAATTTTTCACTCCTCCTCTCTCCCACTCTCTGTAAATACAATTTTGTTCTCTCTCACACTTTTCTGAATCTCTTTTCCATCCACCTCACTCTCAATAAAATGTCATGATCGATGATCTTGTTGAATGGTTTTGTCTTCTTTTAAAACAAACAATTTATTATTTTTTTAAATTTATATATATATATATATATATATATATATATATATATATATATATATATATATATATATATTCATATAATCATTATCTGCTTGTTTATTGTTATTACTATTTTTTTTTTTTAGGGTGGGGGGGGGGGGGGGGGCGCAGCAAAATCATGTGAAACCATAATAAGGTAAACAATATTAAGGGACCTCTATTGTGAATTTATTCATGAAATAGAAAGGACCCCGAAGAGGAGAGAAATGATAAATGAAGATAGAAAATTCATCTTTCACAACCTCTCCTAATATTTGTATATATCTATCATATAAGACTACAACTCCCAAAATGACCATGCCCATGCTGTACGAATGCAGATATAATTTGAATATGAAGTTTCATAATCAACTTCAAATCCTATGCATGCACATGTTAGTACAGTTAGAAGGCATACATTTGGAAGATCCCAATTGCTTCTGGTTCATCATAAAATTTGCAACAACTTTCAACGAGCTCCAACAAATAAAGTAGATTCTGACACCATTGGTATTTGAATTGGAAAACATTTTAATATGGATTGTTAAGAAAATGTACCTAGGCATGTCTTTAATAAATCTGTCATATAATTCTATTAACTGGAGTCTGAACTGTCTTTTCATCTTGAGCCTGGTTGACCTTGTGCTTTCCACCAATGTCCTGATCGTACAACTTCCTTATGTGCTCCTTCAAAGGTCCAATATTTCTGCTCAGTTGTGCAGAGATGGCTATCACAGGCAACCTGATCCTGTCCTGGAACTCTATCAAGTTGGTCCTGGACTCCTCAAGATCCATCTTGTTCCCAACGATTGCGTGAGGTCTCTCCGACAGACCAGGCAGGTACTGCTCAAGCTCGTAGCGGAGATCGGAGAGCTGCGACCAGGGGTCCTTGACAGAGAGGTCGATGACGTACAGGAGGCAGCGGCATCGCTCGATGTGACGCAGAAAAGAATGGCCCAGGCCTCGGTTCTGATGAGCACCTCTGATCAGACCAGGAATATCTGCAACTATAAAAGAGAGAGAGAGAGAGAGAGAGAGGCATGATGAGAAGTAACTGTCACATCCACATCATCATTCTACATTACTCTTTCTTCTTCTTCTTATCGATTCACTACACAAATCCCGTCCAGTGCTCCACGTCATGATTCTACATTACTTCTTCTTCTTGATTGAGGTATACAGACAATTTTTAAATTTGCCTTGAATGATTGGCAGGAATGACAAATGCGATTCTTTCTAATACAAAAGTATTTAATTTTACAGTAAGCCAACAAATAAAAATAATTTGTTTTCTTCTTTCTTAACTTTTGATTATGAACCACAGCATTAACAGATTCAAACGTATCCATTTAGAACGACATCAGAACAGCTACAAAACTTAAAGGTGACTGTGAAGAAATATAGCTTATCTATTTATAATTCTAGAAAAACTAAGAAAAGACAATGCCTGTGACAAAACAGCATCTCTCCTCACAAAACAAACAAACAAACAAACAATGTATGTCCACAATAATAAATGGCCCGAACTTCAGCTCACCGAGTTTGTTAATCGAGGGTTCAGTGACACAAAGACGTAACTCCATATTTTGCCAAAATGAGTATTTGATATCAAAATGTTCAGAAAAATGTGGACTTTCCACGAAACACAAAGACTTAACTCCACTCAGCACCCCATTGAAGTCAATGGCTAGTGAAAAATAGACTTTATTCCTTAAGACTCAAGTGCTCAGTGACACATAAACCACTTTTTCTAAAAATGGCCAAAATGGAGTTGCGTCTTTGTATCACTGAACCCTCAATATGTCTGTACGCTTACCTGCAACTTGCTCCATATCATCATAAATGACCATGCCAACATGCGGATTGAGTGTGGTGAATGGGTAGGCCGCCACGGCAGGCCTTGCTCTGGACAGCGCTCTCAGGAGGGTGGACTTGCCAGCATTGGGGAAACCAATCTGAAAGTAATAACAAAATGCTATTATACCTTCCTTAGTGACCACCTGTCTACAAAGACCACCTGTCTATAAAGACCATATTTTTAAAATTTTCTTTGAAAATGGTTTCTCTTTGAAACATGTACTAAAGGAACCTGTCTACAAAGGCCACTGTTTGTGTTTCCTTTGGGCGGTCGCTATAGACAGGTTTGACTGTATCTCTTATACCTTGAAGTATAAAATGGGTAAAGGTTAAATGAACACACAATTTAAATTATCCTCTCTATCCAAACGGTTTACTGGTGCTAAATCATTGGAACCGTCAAGGTTCAAGATTTATTTCTTTCTTTCCACTGACATGAAAACAATACATTCATAAACAGTAACAACAAGCTCATCATCAACAAGAATAAATTCATGAACAATAACAAGAAAGTTATGAAGACATTAACAATGTAGAAAAAATGTGGTCTGTAAAAAAGCACAGCTTTGAAATATAGGCTCATTCTCCATTCAAATTCACTTCTCCTACATATTTTTGTTTATCTATTTTGATCTTCATGCTAGTGCTAGCGACAGACGTTTAGTGCAGATTATCTATAGGTTCAACATTCTCCCAGTACATTCAAAGTTTGATTATAGACCCATTTTGTATACCGGTAACCAAACCACCAATTAGTAATCTCTGCATAATAGGGTTACAGATAAAGGGGCATTTTTGTTAGTGTGGTTGGATTTGAACACCTCCTATTTATTTCATACAAACATTCCCCCAATCGGGTACAAATTGCCCCATCCAGCCTTACCCAATTATGCGGAGAGTACTGTATTTCATTCCTTTTTTTTCCTTCTTCGTGCACGGAAATATAATGAAATGATGCATTTGTCAATGACTTACCAGACCCACATGAGCCATGGTCCTGAGCTCCAGGTGGAGTACCCGCTCCTCCCCCGGGGTGCCGCATGTACCCATCATAGGGGTCTTGTGCTGGGCCGTCATGAAGGATCGATTGCCACGTCCTCCCTCACCACCCGCAGCCAGCATGAACTAAAACAATGAAAGCATGAAGGTAGCCTCAATAAAATGCAAATAGGAATCTGTAAAGGCTGATTGTGCTACCAGATGTGTAGGATCCCTTACAGAAGCGACCAGCACATCACAAGATAGGGAGATCTGGCTCATGAAGCCGTCACACATCTCCCAGATGGTGTGGAAGGCTCAGGTCAAGATAGGTCAATGACTCTTCTGGATTTTTTACCGCAATTCTATACAAGCTGCTGTTAACTAACCATGTATGCCACAGCAGGGGGCTTCAAGAACGCTGAACACATTTTGTTTTCTGCACGGTTTTAATCATGACCCTTCACTTTTAATCAATAATTGCTTATCATGATTCGAGTGCTTATCATGATTCGAGGGCTTTCGGTGAAAGGAAGCTATCTATATATATATATATTAGGCCTGAGTCATCACGGGTTTTGCCGAACCCGGGTTTGACTTGAAAATTTCGGGCGGGGACCGGGTACCCGAAATTTTCACCACTGCACTGACACTAAAAATCGTGTGCATGCAGCGGCGGGAGTTAGACTAAGTTGCTGTTCTAATAATGCGACGGAAAAGACAGTTACTGCTTTCAAAACAATAAAATAATCGATGGAATTAAATTAAGATGCTTTAAAAAATAAATGGATATCGTTTCAGTTGACGGTAGGTGTTTTTATCGCTCTAAAATTGAGGCTGCAAGAAAGGAATCACGCTTCGTGGTACCGATCGGGTGCGTTCAGAAACGGAAGTGGAAATAGATCTATGACCCACTGAAGACAGAGCAAGAAAATGCCAAACACAAGACTAAAATGTTGATCAGACTATTGCAATTAAATCGTAATACTAAAGGCATTAATTTAATTGTTAAAATATATCCACAACATAATGGTTTACCCTTGATAGTTTGATGAAGGAAAATAAATTAAAGCTCTTGAAATAACATCGAAGTGCCTTTCGTTCGTTCTGAAAATGCGTGTATAACGGCAAGCAGAAGTTACGAGTCAAGCTTGATATGCACGTTTACATCCCTACACCGTCATCCGACCTGATCGGAACAATAAGCATTAAACCAATTAAAAAACATCACGGAAGACTTTAAGGGACTCCAATTCAACAAAATTACCGTAAAATAATTATTTGCTTTGACAAATAATACTATAGATATTCATAATATCTTACAGAAATAATGATATTTCATGAGCTACGTACTCGATATCGAGTTCAGCTAGCCATCATTTTGAAATGAGACGTAGTCGTCATGCAGTAGACTGTAGAGGGCAGTATGCAGAAGAGAGAGGAAAAAGCGCGGGCCTGAGATCACGTGATATTCACGTGACTATTACGTGATTTTTTTTTTCCCTCTCTAGCTGCGAGCTGCCGCATTCTGCGCTGCATGCATGACAACTACGTCTCATTTCAAAATGATGGCTAGCTGAACTCGATATCGAGTACGTAGCTCATGAAATATCATTATTTCTGTAAGATATTATGAATATCTATAGTATTATTTGTCAAAGCAAATAATTATTTTACGGTAATTTTGTTGAATTGGAGTCCCTTAAAGTCTTACGTGATGTTTTTTTAATTGGTTTAATGCTTATTGTTCCGATCAGGTCGGATGACGGTGTAGGGATTTAAACGTGCATATCAAGCTTGACTCGTAACTTCTGCTTGCCGTTATACACTCATTTTTTAGAACGAACGAAAGGCACTTCGATGTTATTTCAAGAGCTTTAATTTATTTTCCTTCATCAAACTATCGAGGGTAAACCATTATGTTGTGGATATATTTTGACAATTAAATTAATGCCTTTAGTATTACGATTTAATTGCAATAGTCTGATCAATATTTTAGTCTTGTGTGTGGCATTTTCTTGCTCTGTCTTCAGTGGGTCATAGATCTATTTCCACTTCCGTTTCTGAACGCACTCGATCGGTACCACGAAGCGTGATTTCTTTCTTGCAGCCTCAATTTTAGAGCGATAAAAACACCTACCGTCAACTGAAACAATATCCATTTATTTCTAAAGCATATTTATTTGATTATATTGAAATATAAGTTTGTGAATTCCATATTTTTAGTTCTATATTTCAAAATATCAGTGTGAAAATTTTATTTTGAAAAACCCGGAACCCGAAAACCAAAAACCGGGTTTCAGCTCGACGGTCGGGGCCCGGGCGGGGACCCGTTTCGACTCAGGCCTAATATATATATATATGTATCATGAAGTTACAAAATAATAATATAAAGAGCTAAAGTACCATAGGGAGCCGACATGACCAGCACAACTCTCAACTTACAAACAAACATTTTTATAAATAAAAGGGGATCTTTGATTTTCAGACTACTGGGAAGTAATGCAATGGTGAAGATTTTTGTTGGTGAAGAAAATGAATGCTAAATTATCTCAGACAAAGACAAAAGCAGAAGGGAATACAAAAAACAATGCTGGAGTTACTCACCATGTCGTGTTCATTTTCTAAGTCCTTGATGATAACATTATTTTCTTTTACTAAAGTACCAAGAGGAACCTGTAAACCGAACAAAACAAATACTACATGTTAATTTGTGGTCTATCTTACCACTAATTAGATAAAACAAGATTCACTCCATGAAACCAGGCGTAAGCACAGAGTAATTATCTCACTTTTCTCTTAACTGGAATAAATAATACCATTCAACATCATCACCAGAGTTGTGAAAGGCCACAGGTACTTTGTGAATTCTTTATTAAAACTGCAAAATTTATTTATTTCCCTCAAACTTGATGCTACCGAAGGAATGATTTCAACATGAAAATAGAAAGCAAATTTACCTTAATGACATTGTGTTTGCCATTCCGTCCATGACGATTTTGACTCTTCCCCTTTCCTCCTGCCTCTCCTCGATAAAGCGGGAGGACGCGCTCTAGTGACTTCAGACTCTGCTCACCTAGGAGAGAGAGAAAAAAACCTTGAATATACATAAAAACTGAGACAATGCCATAACAAATGATGGAACAACAACAGTTTGCTATTTAGATGTGCAATTATGGACATCTTGCTGCTTGTCTTTCATAACGACTAATTAATCAACTGAAATATGGAACTTACATTGTCAAGCTCATCTTTATAATAAACACTGTTTTTTTTCCTTCAGTCAATCACCTCATTCATAATTGTACCACATAACAGCTCAGTTCAGAAACTGGTAGAATTTTTTATGCACAGCATACATCTCATCAATGCTAAATCTTGTTTTAAAAATAAAACTAATTGTTATTAATGAAACCTCTCATCACTGTGTTAGCAGAGAAGATGTATTCATCAATTTAAATAGATTATGAAAATGGTCAAATAGCTCAAGATAATAATTATCATGCAGTTACAAGCACCCTGAGGCCCCTGACTCATAATTATGCTCTTAAACCACTGGATATGATCATACACCTATGGTAAAGTCACCATGACAATAAAAAACTGAAAAACTTATCAGTTATCTGACTGAGGAGTTCCCAAAACACCTTTTCATTTTTTGTGCTGAATGATTAGGAAAAGCCTCATGTAGTTTTATTGGAGTATGCCCCGAAACAAAGAACAATACATTTTTTGTTTGAGAGGATATTTAAAGGGATTGGGTATCTTTGTCTCAGATTCTGAAACAAAATCCTGGATTTAGCTCATGCTGCAATGATAATTATAACCCTTTAGGTCAGTCAGGAACCCCATGACTTTTACAAGCCGATCCTCTGTCTGATTATCAAGATATTTATGATTGGAAAATCGAAATTTCAAAAACCGTTAGGTTAACGGTTTTTATAACACTACAGTCTGTTGGGGAAAACGAGTATGGTAAAACTGGTCACTCAAAGATTTTTACTTTTTTGAAGCACTTCATGATCATTTTAAGCGCAATTTTTTTAGGGCTTCAATATTACACCATATCATAAACACTGATAACACGTAGGGCCATGCATCTTAGATTTAACATTGTTAAATGATGCCTTTAAATACCTACATTCAAGAATAACATGGCCTCCGTTACCACCGTCTCCACCATCAGGGCCACCAAACTCTACATGAGCTTCTCTGCGTACAGACACGCATCCATCTCCTCCGTTACCTCCAGCAACTCGTACCCGTCTCCAGTCCACAAAATGCTTGGACTGCCATGATTGGGAGAAGAACAAACATAACATAATAATACTACTACTACTAATAATACTAGGCATTAATATAGCGCCGTCTACATGTATCTAGACAATGCTCTTACAAGGCGCATAAGAAAAATAGAAAGAATAAGAGAGTTTGGATTAGTGTCATAGTGCCAGGTGCAGGTATTGTTAAGAAATATGAGATTTCAGCTTGGATTTAAAGGTCTCTAAGGAAGTTATGAAATGAATCTTAAATTCAATGGTAAATTATTAAGATTACAGTTTCTAACTCCCACTATATTTGGCCTGAGCGAATGTGAAATGAACCTCACAGCACGGGCATAGGCCAGTTGACCAAAGGTTCTTATCTAGGTGATTGTTGTCTTGTGATTTGTCAATTTTCTCAAGACTAGTCGTGTGAACATTCTTACTTCATGAATCAGTCAACTTAGACATAATTATGCTATACTTCTTTGCAGTTCAGTAACGTTAAGTTGTTGGATTAACTTGTTCTCATGCTTGTTATTGTTTGGTTTTAACCTTCAACTAGGTTAATATTATCCAACACTTATGATGAAATTGAGGTTTCAATGAGGTGATGAATCTGCATTCTATATTTTTGGAAGAAATTTAATCTATCCTTTTTTCCGCATAATACTAATAGACTGATCCAAATAATTCTTCAAAATTCTCTTGAGCATGGTCGATCAGTAAATGATGAGGATGCAAATCATGATGCAATATTCTTCCTAATGTCATTTGACCAGTTTGCACCATTGCTTTTGGGGTTTAACATGTTCCAAGTTAAGATGCATACCAGCTTTTTCTCACTCAGATTCTTCTTTCTCCTTGGAGGTATGGATGACATTCCTCTCTGTATACTGCTCATGTTCTGCAAAAGCCGACGGAAAGGAAGGAGATGATAATGCAAAGATGTAGCCATGGTTTCTCCTTTGAAAGGGCGATGTCTCGGGACTCGTTTGTGAAGATTATCCTACACAACATGAAGGAGAAAGGATTAACATCAACTCTAGTTTAAATTTTCACAAACAGGGTTTTCTGAATTAGTAATATAGAGCTAGATTATCTTATTTTAATCATACATTTGGCTTTCGAAACAAAAAACTAATTAAGTTTTTTGTGTTACTAGACTTCTACCCTCTTTTTTTCTACATTTTAGAATCATTACCTTAAAATAATAAGTCTTATACATGCCATATCATTAATGTTTTGAAAAAAATCTTCCATTATAATAAATGATTTAATAAATAATAGGGTCTAATAGGATTCACTGTTTTAGTCTTTTAGATCCATCTTCATTCTTCATTTTTTCTTGAATCTTCAAATTTGTCAATTGCCAATACTAAGTCGATCTAGAGGTCTACCTACGCCTCCATGCTTCATTGAAAGCCAGTCATCCAAGCTAAGTCAGTATTTTTCAAATCTATGCATAAACAAAATTCAGCGTAAGTTACATAGCCTAGTTAGACTTAGACGTTAGGGTTAATTTTTAACAGGTGAATCACACAGCTCCATGCTCCAGAAGCTTAGCCTAGGCACTCCAGCAAAGCATAGAGAGTCCTAGACAGCAATAACCATCTGATTTGGGTCATTTCTTTAATAAAACTGACATTTGTTGTCATTCCCCAATACAGATGGCAACCCAGAGATCTCGTACCGTGGGGGTAGCTATAGCCAACATTACAATGGCAGCTTTTTTTGTCAAAACATTTTCTCCCCGATTTTCTTTATTTAGATCTAATTTTCTGATTTCTAAATCAGATGTAAATTAGGTCGGTATGTCATTTGTCCTAATTACAGTTATCAAAATTTGATAACTTAATATTAAATGGATAATTTACGGACTTACTTATATGAATTATCCAATTTGTATCTCCGAACCGCGAAGCAGTACGTTCATGCATTCGAAATATTACCCGGCGGCCGATATATTTCCGGGTCCACCTACCAAAACATAGCCAATGGCCAATCAGAGCACTCGTTTCGTGGGAGTTCGTTGGTCAAGCCGGGCCGACTCGTAAGTAGCTACGGTAGCTATTGGACGTTCGAAAAGAAAAAATGAATATTCATCAACTAAAACCAAGACGGATAATGTTGACGACGAGACTTTCTCGGATTAATCATTAATTTAGGATCTAAATGAGCAAGCTATCGTAAGTCAAATAAGCTATATATATGTTATTTTTAGTTTGTATTATAATTGCAGCAGTTATGAGGATGTAAAGAGTGAAAATCTCGTTGCATATCTCATTCATCGCGGTCCGGTCGAACCGAACCATTTGTTCCGTACAGTGCCTCACAGAAAGAGGTCCCCAGACTTCAGTCTCTATAATCGGAGGTCTAGTGGAGCCAGACGTAGTCTCAGTGGAACAACCGACGATTAGAGAGACTGAAGTTTTCGGTCTAAGAACTTAGAGAGTCCATGCTAATGAGCCTAGGCCTAGCACGACACGAATACCAATGCGTGGGTCTCTATTATTATACAAATCTACAAAAGTCTATTGTCTAGATCTTGATTCTAGATTAAGCTTGAAGATTAAATCCGTAACAAACACTGAAACACACCAACTAACAAAATCCTGGGAAGATGCCTTAATTTTACCATCATTATCATAGCGTACCTTTCTTTAGTGGGCTTTCCAAAGCTGGATGAGCTATGAGTATGAGCATGTTTGCAGATGAAAGAGTAAATTCGGTGTGTATGGCAAGCCAAAAGGGAATATATTCATCTCTTGTATTTATATTCATCTCTGAATAAATTATATATTCATCTTCTCATTATGTTTGTCATTCTAATATATTCATCTTTTCAATATGTTTGTCTTTTAAATATATTCATCACAGTATATGTTTATTTGATCACTATTTTTAGTATTTTTTAAAAATTCATTCATCTTTTCAATATATAGAGTCTACATCTATTCAATATATTCATCTTTTCAATATTTTTGTCATTTCGCTTCATTAATTTAGTCTTCAATATTTTCCTCTTTCTGTCGCAATATTAGAGGGCAAGTCCACTCCAATAATAACTTACTTTCAATAAAAAGCAGAAAAATCAGACACTGACCAATTAAAAAAAAGTTTGAGCAAAATCGGATTACTACTAATAAGAAAGTTGTGAATTTTTAATGATATGAAAAACTTTGAAAATCACAAGACAAATTGGCAACTCACTCATGAATCTGTGACGTCATTGCCTCACTATCCACTAATTGTTTTCTTTATATTCATAATATAAATTTTCAATTTCCCCCCTAAACTTCTTATTTCCTCACACCAGGATCCAAGTTATATTAATGGTAATATGTTTTTATGTGGATGCACTAATATAGAATAATTTTTTTCAGTTAAATCATGGAAAATGTGAATATTTATATAAATTATAAAAATGAATAATTTTGAGTAGGCTATACAATATTCAGAAAAAAATATCAATTCTTCAAAGTTCGTAAAAGATTTTGTGAAATGTCATGCACGCAATATGATACAATAACATAATCTTGGCAAAGGGATGGGGAAATCAAGTTTTTGGGGATAAACAAGGAAATTAATGGGATAAAATAAAAAGGGCAATTGATAAACTGTGAGGCAATGACGTCATGAATTGATAACCACATTGGCAATTCGTGTCGTTATTTTCAAGTTCCATAGTTTGTCATACTTTAATGAAAATGCATAACTTCCTTATTACATGTAGTTATCTGATTTCACTCAAATCTTTTTTGCTCTGCTTTATGTTTTTTCAGCAAATTATTTTTGGACTGGAATGCAACCATGTACATGTAGGGTTTGAAGGGAATTATGGGGCACACATCAAACCCAAACAGTGCAAATTTGTGTGAACACTCATTTTATCCTCAACACCCTCCTTGAGCAAAACCCAAAACCAAACCTTTTTTACTTTTTTTTGTAGCTCTCATCTTTCTCGCCTTTTCGAAGGTGTTTTGATCCCAAAACCTATATTAATTCTGCCTTCTATGGCTTCCCCATATTGTATTTTACACCTGCATCAATTGCTAGCCAAAAATCATAGATTTAGATAAGGTATTTTGGGCCTAAGAATCCAACTGTGGCAGACGGATGCACTGACTTGGACAGTTCAGTCCCACCTACTGGAAATTGATGTACCGGTACTAGTAGAATTCTACAGCAACATTTGGCGGGAAGACCTGCACTGCATAGCTGTAAGTTGCAACGCCAGGCCAACAAACAACACTGGTCTACAAAGTCAACAGCTCTTAAAGTTTTATACTTAAGTATGACAACACATGTTTGACTAGTACAACACTGCAGCACAAGCATAGCAAACTCAAGGTAAAACCTGTCTGTATGTTGTTTGTCTCCTGTGACATTTGAGTGAGATCTAACATAGATTTTCTAGATCTATGATTCCAATATTTCTTCACATCTGATCTGTTGCAAATCACCTTCTCCACTTGTAAGTTCTACCTACTGTACATGGACACTATCTTTTGCTTCAGCTCTATTATTTCATGATTTCTGCAGGGAACCTACATTCTGCATGTACAAGTATATCTGCATGAACTACCAAAATTATCCCTATGACCTGTAGAACTGCATGAGCTACATATATCAATATTATTTCTGCATGAACTTTATCCAGCATTTAACTAACAATACTATTTCTGCAAGCATATCTGCATGAACTATCAATATTATTTCTGCATGAACTATCAATTCAATATAATGTCTGCATGAACTCTATATTCTACATGTCCATGAGCTCAGCCTGATCACACCAGTGTCTACTCTGTCTCTGTGCCCGTACTGTGCAAGTGAATACATGTGTCTCCCCGTCTTCGTATACTGTTGTTTGTATATGTACGAATATTACATGTACACCACCTACCAGTAAGAATACTGTGCATGCTCACTAGCGCCATTGGCCTGTAAATATTGTGATAAAAACCACAAAATAAGGCCATGTAAAATTGATTACATGTTGATCGTCCGGATTTTTTGAAAAAGAGGAGGAGGGTGTACCATGTTATTTGATATTTGATATTTCAAAATGGCGGCTCAAAATGGCCGCTCGGTACATTTTCCCTGACAGTCGAGGCTATTTTTTTCAAGATGGCCGCCGACAATTTTTTTTTTTTTAAATCAGAAATAGAGCCATTTTAGCAGTGTTTTTCATGTTTTTTTTCTTTCAAAAAAAAAAAAAAAAAAAAAAAAAATTCAAAAAAAAAAAAAAAAAAAAAAAAAAAAAAAAAAAACAAATAACAAAAAATAGGAGGCGGCCCCCAAAAAGGAAGCGGGCGGGGACGATCAACATGAAATCAATTTTACATGGCCTAAGAGGTACATCAGACTTGCAAAATAGAAATAGGAATAATCCACAAACAACCTGTTGTGATTGATCACTGAAAACTGATCTCAGCTCAGACTCAAGAGGGAAGCAATTATGGATGAATGCGAAGCAAACCCTAACCCAATCCACAGCAATGGGGAGAAAAAGGTCACCCTATCATTCGATCATGATGCATTTGTATATTTTAAAGAACTCGTACTGAAGTGCCTTGATGGTCCTGAGTTAAAAAACTCTCCAAAGCTGGCCTTTTCTAAACATAAAAAGGGTAGAAGCCATGACGGAGAATGGATAACAGCTCATAAGAGAAACAACAATGGGAAGAAAACTCGACAGAGGATGTTCAGCATTGATCTGCACGAATCAGCGCAACAGATCTCAATAGCAGGCATACAAATTCGGTTGTTCGTAGAAATCATGCTACCACAGATGCTGAAATCTATGACGGACATGACTCAAAGAAAGCTAACAGATTCGATGACACAATTCCTTTCGCAAAATGTCCCTCGGGCCATCGAAAGCAGCAGCGAACATCTGCCACCAATCTACCAGGGCCCATGCCACTGCGAGCCTTCGGACAAATCAGCTGTCTGCCCAAAATGTCTTGAACATGCATGTAAAGATACAATTGAGTGTTGTGACTGTAGTCAATGGTACCACTTTTCATGCTCGCATCTTCAGGCAAAGGAACTAGAAGAGATGATAGGAAATGATCTACAACCATATAGCTGCACAAAATGCAGTCAACTGCAGGCAATGACTTTAAACATCTCAACAGACACAGATACTGATGACGCGACCATGTGCCCAGTCTGTCACAAAAGTGCTGCAGAAAATCCAATAATCTGCCAGGTATGTGAATTGTGGTTTCATACCCACTGCTGCAATAGAGCCGCTGATGTTCATATAGATGACTGCTTTACATGTCTCTCCTGTACCGCTTTGTGGAAAGAAAGGGATACCGATGAACTCGAAACTCAGGAGTACACAACACCAATGTCGGCGATACCACCACATGAAAATTTGAAAATCACAAACAAAAGACACAAAGCAAACTCAGAGGAGGACAACATCTTGTCTTGCAGACAAGTACAACTGAAAGAAACAGCTACAATACCAACTGTATCCCAGACTGGCAGAACTATATCAGATGCACAAACACAGACAGAGCAAGAACGCATGGAATGTAATTCCTGCAAAAAGAAATCCTCGGAAACAAAGAAGTTCAGAGCTGATCTCAAGGCACAGTCAACCAGCAATGACCTGCTGATCACAGAGAATGAAAGGCTGGGACAGGAACTCAAACAAGCACAAATGGAAAACAAGATGATTCAGGAAAAGATAAAAATCTTGGAAAATAAAGAACTGGAACTAATACATGCCAAAACAAAAACTCTGAAGCATGAATCTGAAATAAGAAACCTAATACTAGACAAAGACTACCTGTATGCACTATGCTTGAGAAATGGATTAGAGGTGTGCAAACCAACAGCTCAACTACCAATGTCAAGAGATGATGGGAGAACAAAAGAACAGCCCCAGGAGACCAAAACGAATTCACGGAGCAATGTTCAAAGCACTTCTATGTACAATGTGCCAACACACAATAGCTTTGAAATCCTTGATGGTGACTGTGAGCAGGAAAATGGAAACAAAGAACGTGTAACACAACACATTCCAGGAAACAACACCAATAGAAGCAACGAACCGACGATAGCAAAGAGACTACCACCCAGCAATCATCAGAAGAGATCAGCAGGACCATCTCTATTTCAACGAAGTCCTCACAGACTAAATGAAGAACGAAGAAAAGGATCACCAACAAAAAACAAGAGTCACCAAGGAAATCAAGAGTACATGTATGCAAACACTAGAGGAGATTTTCCATCAAACTTGCAGACTAGACGTCATAGTGACATAAACATTCCCATAGTCATACCCAGCCAGACCTTCTTTGGTAAGAGGGGTCCTCAAGGCCAAAATGCATACAACAATGCTCAGCACAGACCCACGGAGGATCAACGCTTGCCACAAACAGACTATCATTCACTCAGGGATCAGAATACCCAGAGTCTAATAAATATACAGTCTACGACTCAGTTCCCGACTCTAGGAATGCATACCATGAGTGACCCCTGCCTGACGAAAACTGATCATCACTACAAACCCTCAGAAATAAAGCCTACCCAAATACATTCGAATGACAGAAAGAATGAACCACGAGCAAGGTCACACACTGTTGCCGCACCTGGTAACTCATCTAAAGCCCAGAACAACCAGTATCCTCGTGGACAACCCCAGAGATCTGCAAGAAACTATCTCCCTAGTAGTGAACATGGGATACAACAAACTCCCATCAGCATAAACAC